ATGTTCCTTAAATGCTGGGAACCCGTAGAATGAGTTCAACAAGTTGGTTTGATAACCTTCCATAATAATACATAATGAAAGGACAAACGACCAAAATGTTGCTTTAGGGAAACGCTTAATACCCTCCGTGAATGTCATAGTCTTATCTGCATTTTCTGACTCCTTAGCTGATTCAATAAAGAAGTTGACGTAGTTAGTTGGGTCTTCATTAGAGATGGAATCAGTGGTTTTGACGTCCACTTTATTATCTTTTTCACCAACCAAGCTCATTGTTGATTGTTAATTGTGATATATAAATAATTCCTAAACATTAAAGGTGTAAAGGTGTTAATCATTGGCTATTTATATGATTTCTAGTCTCTTTAAAGAGCTTCTTTTACAACCATGAGATCGAACGCCGTTCTTCGAAACGTCATATTTTTGTGGAGTAAACGCAAAGAAGGTTGCCATGATATTTTTACCTTAGTTGCGTTTAAGGCCGAAATGCTGAACTCCATATTTGAATATTCTTCCCGACCAATTCTAAATGTTTGCCTGGCGGCTATGTTTGCGTCTACAAAATTTATTTTTTTTTGAAGAATTCTGACAAATGATATGCGGGACAAAGACTTAACATTCTGACATTTTGTTCTTGCATTGGTAACAATTTTTTGATTGTCGTACCACCTTTACCCCCGCAGAACTAATCCTGCGACAGCTTTAGTTAGAAAATCAACTCAAGGAAAATTTGCAGCCGTTTACTTGAAAGAAATCAGACATGACAATTTGATTGCTTGTTCATCATCAGATAAGTGAGTGTGAAAATCAGGACGTGAAATGGAAGTCAATATTGGCAGACCACGACAGGGTCAGGACTGGACACTTCAGCAAAGTCAGAAACCCTTAGAAAATTCATATATTATATATTTGGCATTTTTATATCAAAGAATGCCTGGCTAGCTCAATCGGTAGAGCGTTTGACTCTTAGTCTTGTACGAGAGAAGCGATCAAAAGGTTGCGGGTTCGACCCCCGCGTTGGGCTTGACTCTCGAAAATGGTTTACTATTTTTTTGATCTTAGTACTGAATGGTTGTGTTATATATATATAAAGAAGAAGCAGCATACGATATTAGTCTTTTAGTATTAAGACTAAAGGTGCCACCAAATTTATGTGTCAAACACTCGGAAATCTTAAATTGAAGACATCATACAAGGAAAGGAAATATGAAGCAAAACAGTAGCATTATAGGAAATTGAAAATATGTAGTGGTGATTTATTTAGGATCTAGCCCTCAAGAATTGAAACTTTAGAAGCAAAAAGCTTTTTATGTACTTTGTGAATTGATCATTAAAGGAGATCAATGAGCCGTTAACCTATTCCTTATCAATAGGGTGCATCATTTCTTCTTCGTCAGTGACTTCAACATGTTGTGCAATGGCCTTAACACCGTCAGAACCAAACTTACCAATCAATTCGTCAGTATTGAAGATCTCAACAGGTGTAGTCCTGAACTTTCTGGATTTAACACCTTGGGCAAACAAGACATCTAATTCTGCGAATGTTCTGCCCTTGGTTTCTGGCAAGTCGAACCAACACCAGACGGCAGAAGCAATACAGAAACCAGCCCAGAAGAAACCAGTCTTGGCTTTCCAGTTCCAGGCAGTTGGGTTCAACATGTAAGGCATGATAACAGCAATAATAATTCCAGCAACGTTATAGACATTCCTGGAGATAACCACAGACTTAGTTCTCAAACTGGAGGTTGGGATTTCGGTGACAATACAGTAACATAATGGCCCGACAGTTAAATCATAAGTGAAGGTAAATAATAATAACATCGCGCCAACACCCCAAGATGGTTTGTTACTGCCGGTAGCGTCAACAACAACACCTAATATACCAACAATAATCATAATCACCGCTAAGACACACAAACCATAAAAGTAAATAGTAAATCTACCTGCCCTCTTAGAAAGGAACCATGAACCAAGAGTACCGCAAAGACCGAAAACGTATTGAATGATAGTGAAAGTAAATGAATTGGAATCAGACATACCAGCCTGGATTAAGAAGTAAGTAGAGTAACCCATCAAAGAAGAACCACAAATGTTTTGAGCCAACCAAGTCAACGCACCAATTCTAGTCCTTCTCCAGTTACCGTTTTTAAAACAATCTAAGTAAGAAGCAGATGATGAGTTTTCTTCAGCTTCTCTTTGCTTTAAAGTCAATTCGATCTTGTTAACCATTTGTTGAGCGACGAGACTATTGTCTGGCATACCTTCAGTGTGAGTCAACAATCTTTCCATAGAGTGTTTAGCTTCCTTAAACTTGCCCTTTTTGACTAACCACCATGGAGACTCAGGAGCAAGATAGATACCGATTGCAATTGGAAGAGGCCAGACCCATTGGACAGCCCATGGGATTTGGTAGGCAATAGGATGTTTATTACCACTGAAACCCTTCAACATACAAGATGAGATCAATTGACCGAGAACCCAACATAAGTTGACCCAGGTGGTCAAATAGACTCTAAGAACTAATGGACAAACTTCAGATGCGTATGTTACAGTAAGAGTTTGGAATGCACCCCAGGGTAAACCTAAAAGAATTTCACCAGCTGCAATCATACCTAACGAAGTTGAAAAGAAAAGGATAAAGATAAACCCGATAACCAACATCAAAGAACCGATTAATGTCCATCTGTAACCAATTCTGTCTGATACTAAACCTGCTATGAACAAACCGACAAATTCACCAACATTGACACACATAGACAAAGTCGTTTGCCAATGAGCAGGAATTTCCCAAATACCGCCGTCTTTTTCTGGATAGAAGGTTCCAAACTTCTTTTGGAAAGCTTCGAACCCATAGAAAGAGTTCAATAAATTTGTGTCGTACCCTTCCATAACGATACACAAGGAAAGGACAAAAGACCAGAATGTCGCTTTTGGATATCTTTTGATACCTTCCAAAAGGGGCATTGTCTTCTCGGCATTTTCCGACTCCTTGGCAGACTCGACGAAATAGTTGATGTAATTTTGGGCTTCATCATTCAAGCCAGTGTCGATGGACTTTTCCTCGACATTATTAATTTCCTTGGCCTCCATCTTGGCAATGTCTGTCTGTTTTTAGTTGACAATTTTATAACTTGGAGAGTTGATAATGGAAATAAAAAATTCAGTTGCAATAAACTGGAGATTTGAAGGCTTTTTATATCATTTGAAATTACCTTCAATATTAATCTGGGGTATAAGGCCTTCGAGTGTAATCCGTCTATAAAACACCAAATCAAAACCTGTGGAGATGACAGAGGCTTACAAGAATACAAATTAAAACAATTGTCCTAGAAGTTTGAAGATTTTGCGACACTATGGCTGTGTCTGAGTGTTTTTAGTAGGTGCCATTATTGTTCTTTATGTCGGAGACTAAAAAAATTCAATTGTGAAAAGTAGTTCCCCAGATTTTCTAAGCCGCTCGTGGATTTAAAAAGTCGCTACCCATCTGGTAGGGAGAATTTTTGTAGGGCATTCTACTTTGATCATAAGCTATACAACAATCGCTTACTATTACTTACTCTCACTATAACATATTTGTTGCAATGAAATTAATTTGCAACGTAGAAAGTCTGGTTGTTTCTAACAGTCGTGATTACCAGTTTATTGTTTATTTTGTCTGTCTGGTAGTCCGATCCCAATTTTTGATTGAGACACGGAAATGGATTGCCCCGCTTTTGTAGAAAATAATAGCGGTGAGCCCGATTGCATATCAACTTTGCGTTGACGGTTTATGCAAGGTTGGGCTCCATAAATGATCCGAGTCATGACATGACCCCTCTCAAGCTCCTTCATCCGTGCTCGCTGAATTTGTGATAATCTTTGCGATTACCCCGTTCACTCGTTGATTGTTCTCAACTCTCAACGGGAATCGTACTAGGTCTCACACCACTTTGAATCTACAAATGGGATTATAACCGCAAAAAGAAAAGCAATAATCGGTGGTACCCCGAAAGATTTTACATGTTGAAGCCAAACAGTATAGCCACTTATACTAAGCATCTGATTTGATAGTTGCTTTCACGTTATTCAATGACTATGTTACTAAAAGAAAGGATGCATGTCTCAATGTTCAATTAGGCATACTATTCGTATCAAGAGCCAACTAAAGGTGGAATTTTTTTGTGCACAATCATACAATTTCATCGCTTCTGTATGAGTGGGGTCAGAGGAAAGTTGTTATTTGCCGTGACAAAGTTATTGGAAAGTTGTTTTTCCTTTTTGAGTCTCTAGCTATTCATACTTAGATATCGGCCCTGAATTTCTTTGTTTTGCAGGAAAAATGTCCGCATATTCGGGATTAGTTCCCCAGATTTCAGCAATTATATTATTACTTCTCTAAGGTTGTTGCTATGAAAACATTCCGATGAACCTTATTTCAGTGACACTATTGTTGCTCGCAACCATTTATTCAATTTTGTCTGACGTATTCGCAATATATTCGCAAAGATTTTCGTAACATTTAGATCCTGTGCGTTAACAGTACCCCAGATTATTTTTACACAAGAGCCCTAACTCGTAATGTCATGGGGTCACTACTTTGATACCAATTTGTAAACGATTAAAGAAATGTCTATGGCCATACCAGAGTATAGACGCTGTTCTGTTATGTTATGCGACATGCAGTAAATATGCAGCACGACATTTAGGTTAAAAAAATGCCTTGGACGAACCGTTCTTCAGTGTTTTTGGGGGAACTCTTTAACAATAGGATGGCGTCCAGGTTCAGGCACAAACCAAAGTTACATGCTCGCGGAATTGCAGTTATCTGCACAAATGAACTATTACAATACTTTAAGGACAACAGGATGTCCCAATGCCATATGTGACCTATGTACCCCATATTTCATTTCTTTTCCCCACAGACTAAAATTGCCAGTTTGGCATTTTCGAATGAGTGTCTGTTCTATCAAATGAGGCCAATCTGAAACGCATTTCTTGGGCTCACCATTCACTTGTTTTCGGTTTCGTACACGTTTCCACCATAATAAAGACATTAGATCCATCAGTATTATAGCCGATGATGGCTTCATCGTTGTTTGTATGAAAAGAAGCTTAACTGTCGCAAAGTTTTAATCTCTACAGTACAATTTTACTTCTGAAAAACTACCCTACACTGGAACATTTTCGATGCGAAAAGATGAAACTCAATTTCTATTGTCACCTGACAAGGCTCTGTTTTCGTTTATGCGTATTGTAGAGGCCCGTCTTACGTCGTTCCCTACGTCATCCTATTATCCCCCTACCTATACCTTGAACGACTAATTGAAGTGGGCATAATCTTAGATCTCTAGACCTTGCCTTGCTAGGTTGAAATTGTTGGGAATTCATACAGTCTACCTCGATTGTTTGGACAAGAGCTTTCTATCTAAAATTTGAGCCACTTTACTTTCCTGCTCCACCTCCAACCCCTCTCGGTGGTATTATCTTACTTTCCAAACGACCTTAGCGCTTACCTTTGACCTCGAGTGGGGTATTTTAAAAGTTTGCTGTGAAGCTCAGAAAGTTTTGCATTGGTTGGTCTCTATAGATCTTTGCTTCGGTAGTGAAAGTGGTGGTGATAATTATATTAACTAAGCCTAGTGATTTGGTAAAGCTAATAATAGAGATTTTCCGCCGCAACCCTCGCAAAGATTGCTTGTAATGCGAGCATTTTTGCAATCTTTCCAATTTCCGACCGCAAAAGCACCGAACCCTCAAACGAATGGTAACATGGGAAGGATACGATTGCAAAGATAGGTATCGTGATATATTCCCTAGTAAGCCGATGTACACTGTGGATTATCTTGAAGTATGTAGTCTGGCATTTATTTGCTTTGGTGCTTGAGGCTTTAGCCTCCCATTAACTTAGCATCATTAAGTATCCTCAAGAAAAGCACGAGCTTGCTTGCAATGGTTTAAAGAATCTACATGGTGTTCATAACAAATACTTCTGTATCCATTGCAGTAGTTCTCTAGTATCATTTGTAAACCAATTAGAATTGTTAAAGCCTTCTTGTTGTCGGTGCTAAGAATGTTTTCGTTTTTCTAAGTGCTTTCAATTGGATATAGGTCGGTCGGTTGTCAAAGAAAACTTTGCTGGAACTGTTCCATAATGATTTTTTGCTACGAATTGAATTCCCAGATATAATAAATTTACATTTATGATGAATATTTTCTTCAGACAGAGAGAGAATATGTTGTTTGATTTAATCTCAGTTTGGGTTTACCAAAACCTGGATATTGCTTTAGGTATAAAGCTACAGCAAAATTTTAGTGTTAGCATTCTAATAGGTGTCAAGTTATTTGACACTTTAAACTGATTCCTTGAAGACCAATTAAGAGTAAAGTTCTGAATGAATGTCAAATCTAAATCACAACTGCTATGGTGGGTTTCCCTTTGGAAACTTGACTCTTTATCATTCTCTGATACAATTGTGATTATTAATCCACCTCTGCTGGTTACTTCCTTGCGGTTTAACTATTTTCTAGCTTCCGTTTGTTTTCTTACTGTTAGCGGTTCTGATATACTAGAAACCTTACATTTCCCATTTAAGTGTGCAGGTAATCTTAATAAATGGGCATACATCCAACCAGGGGGATACTTGGGGAGTCACACTAAGTGCTTGCAAACCTCAGGTTTTCAAATAGTGGTTTACACTGATTTGAAACTTATTTAATCGCTATTCTTCCATTTAGTCCTAAACTAAAGAGAGTTGTCTTTAGAAATATTAATCTATTTAGTGTTATCATGTTAGGTAGGGACTCAAAGTGAAACACAGCATTTAGTGGAAGTTTTCACTTTTGATAAAAATAATAATCCTGTCCTAATTCCCTTTTAGATAGAATTAACTTCTGTTGAGAAAGTGAATCAAACTCAAAAGTGAACTCTAAAGGCCACAGAAAAGATCCCATGCTAAGATCCGAAAATGGAAGATTAATCTATGGACTTTGTTCTGTTTGAACAGTTGTTAAGAATACGTTCCTTGATGATTAATATATGAAATTAACCCTGTTTGAACTATTGTTAAATTGTAGAGTACTTGATGTTTCTACACCATTACTTTAGTGACCTTGGGGATTGGATTGAGTGACTTTCTACCTTGGTAAGAGCCAGTCTCACTTAAACTTAAAAATCATCATAGCTCACTAAAGTTATTTCAAATTACTGAAATATGCTTCCTGACTTCAAATGTTACAGAAGTATTACAGTACATGAATGGGGAAGATGAAAATTTGGCTCTGTGGACTTCTGATCCTATAAAGTCGTTGATGAAGCTCATACCTTCCATATGACCTGGCAAAGCAACTTAAGATAGCACAGTATTAATTTCAAGTACATTCATGATTGTTTGCTTATGGTAGATATAACAATGTATTAAGTTCAACACCCAATGTTGTGGGGTTCGACCATTTTTAGTTGAAGATTGAATTTCGTGGTCCATTGCTACAGCCGCATCGAATTTTGGACGGTTGCATCAAGTAATGAGGCTATCATCTTCTTCAAATCATTGATATTTACTTCCATTTGCATATCTTGGCGCTTAAGATGACTTTTAGTACTCATAACTTGATACTAATACCTGATTCAGTTTGAAGAAACATCAAAAAAGCCTGATGCACTGACAGATCTGAAATGAGGTTTGACATTTTTCCCCCGCGGCTAAGTTAGCTTCACCGAAAAGGGAAATTTTTCATCATCGCACTAATCTGCTATATTCCCCCTTTGGGAATAGACCTTTCCACAATGTCTAACAACTTGTGCTCGAACTGTATTGGGAAGTTGGTCTTTCGCTCTGCTGGCTTGACATATATATATATATATATATATATGAAAATGTGCATTCACTTTCATGTCAAATTTTTCTCTTTAAACTGAGTTGAGTTGAACCTTACTACAATCAAGATTTTGCAGCCAAGATGTTGGTTTGGAACAACTTATGGTTAATATTCCTTGCGATTTTCCATCTCACTGCCGCACTTCCGGTTGGGGAGTCTTCCAAATACGTTGCAGAACGAGGAATAGATGAAGATAATGATGCCCAAGTATTGTATCTAGATAAAAGAGATAACGCACTTTTGGATACCTTTTTCACTCAATTAAATAAATCAGGGTTGGGAGTTCAAATTGTACACGAGTTTTATTCTAACCCATTAACACAACCTACAGTTCTCAATCTTATAAATGGGTTCCTTAGACAAGTGGACTTTGTAACCTTGTTGGATGAGCTTTCAAGTTCAGGTTTAGCTCATGATGTGGCCATGCTGATGTTTTATAACAAAGAAGCATTCCCTGATTTATTCAAGATAATTCAGTCCTTAAGACTGGATGGTACTATTCCTTACAAAAAGAGAGAATACATTGAAAAGAGGGGTCTTATAGGAGATATTCTTGGAGGCGTAGGTAGTGTTGTCAATGGTATTTTTGGAGGAGGTTCTTCGTCAAGTTCTTCATCTGCAGCAGCTCCAACTGCTTCGAGCACATCAGCAACAGCTGCTTCCTCAACAGCAAATGCTGTCTTTCCCACATCTGTGCTGCTTGCAACTGGAAGTATTCTTTCGGTTCCCTCTATGTCGGTTCCAAGTCTCTCGGTCCCATCACTCTCGGTCCCATCACTCTCGGTCCCATCACTCTCGGTCCCATCACTCTCGGTCCCATCACTCTCGGTCCCGTCACTCTCGGTCCCGTCACTCTCGGTCTCATCACTCTCTGTTCCAACTCTTTCCTTAAGTGTGTCTGCTCCTTTATCTACTCTTTCTGGAACCAGAACTACAAGTTCCGGTGCTACCACCACCACTAATGGAGGTCTCTTTGGCTTCATCGGTGGGATCTTTGGCACTGTTACTAGTGATGTTGGTTCTGTTGTTAGCGGTGTCAACTCTGCTGTTGGCTCTGTGGCTTCTGGTGTTAGCGGAGTTGTAGGTGGACTTGTGAACACTACAACTACTTCAATTAATAGTTTCATTCTGTCTTCTCTGGAAGTTGCAACTTTGACAAGCGTGTTTGATTCATCGTCAATAGCTGCTATTGCAACCTTATTACAACTTTTTCAAGCTAACAAAAATATGGATGACTGGATCATTGCTTTACAAAAGTCGGGTTTGGGTGTACTGATTGTTCAAGACGTTGTAACTACTTTAGATGGTCAGCGTTTTGCAGTTACAGCTGCTCACAGCATCAAGAAAAACGCTCCCCAACCATTAGGTACGTTTGTTAGTGCTATATGGAGTTCTGGATTTCTATGGTCAATGATATTCCAGTTTTTGAATCCAGGCGACATTGTCACGATAGTCAGATACATTCTTAGTTACCTCTAATTGTCTTGATGATTCAATTAGAAATCATCAGGATTTAATGGGAAACTAAGTACACCAAAACTTGATTGCTTTCCTTTTTTTTTCGCATATGGTGCTTATACCTTTGGACCCTATTACAAATACGGTTTTATGTTTTAGATCTATCGTTTTTAATGATTTATATGTAATGACATTTTTGTTTGATGTCTAGACTTTTGAGTGAGCCGTAGATTGACTACACCCTAACAATTGGTGTTAGGGTGTAGTCAACAACGAATCTAAAAGTGGCGGGTAACGCAATGTCAACTCATCAGCCCGACTTTTGTGAAGAAAAATTTTCTGCGTTAATCTATATACAGTACGGTCATATTCAAAAAGGTATAAATACTGGGGTGTCCCCGTGTCTCCCTTCTTCTGCAATTATCATCAGTAGTGGTTATTCTAATACTTTATGTTATTATTATAATTACCATTTTATAAAACCATATTTACCGGAATGATACTACATGATGTGAATCTTCCGTGTGAATGACACCCAATCAGCTAAAGAACGGCTGACCTGTTTAACAGACAGTTGTCACAGTTGCTTCTTTCGTTCAAGGTTTTTAGAACAATTTTGGTATTTTATGAGTTCCCGGAGTGAAAGTTCTGGTAAAACGAGGTTAGCATTGGCTTTCTTTCTATTATTACTCAGATAAACTCATTGTACCACATTATTACAAATTTTAAAGCTTTGTAGATGTAAACCGAATTAAGCATAATATTTTTGAGCAAATCTGTTCAACATAATCTTTAAGTGTATTAGAGAGATATTTGCTTTCCTCTCGTGATGGTAGATGATTTAACTTATACCTAACTTGTTTCCCAGTTGATGCTCCACTAACTCTCACTATTACGTAAGCATTAAACCGTTGATTTCCGATCTATTATAGGGAAAAATTTTCTATAGGCAAAAATAAGAAAGACCTTGCAACACCATCAAAACTCATTTTAGAAGGCACAGACATATAGGAAGAAAATGGCACACCGTTTGATAGTGAATGTTGTTTTAACAGGAGCCAGTGTTTTTGGCCGAGCATTCACTGAAGCATACAAACAAGCAGCTAAGGCCTCGGCCAGCAATGCGAAGATGCAAAGCACTAAAGCTACAAGTGTAGGGGGAGTACCAGTCGATGAGGCGTTGAAGATTCTTGACTTGGAGAGAAAGGATTTGAGTCATGGAAAGATTGAAGACAAGTACAAGTATTTGTTTGAGGTTAATTCCAAGGAGAAGGGGAATTCGTTTTATATTCAGAGTAAAGTGTACTATGCCATGGACACACTAAAGAAAGAGTTAGACTATTTGGAAAAGCTACAACAACAGAAGAAGGAGCAGTCACAGCAAAATCAACAACAACAACAATAGCAACAACTAAAACAACAACAACTACAACAGTAATAATAATAATAAGACTATCAATAATTACATTATCATGGGAAAGCAATAGTAACAGTCAGGGTATCGTTAAATCTGCAACGTGAGCGGTTGAAATTGCACCAAAGGCTATGAACAATTGATGAAATACTCGTATTAAAGATCTACGAGAGCAAGAACAAGAAATAAGCATGTGCATTTTGTCTATAAGAACAACTAATTAACTTCAATGATTATTACGATGTTGCTTTTCCACTGACACTTATTGTTCCCGTCATACCCTTTCATTTTGTATATACCACCATTTCATGTATAGTAACCATATATTTTCTCGCAGACCTCGTTCGTTGTCGTTCCTGTCGTACCCATGCTTCGTATAGCTCCGGATTCTAGTCTTTCAAAGTCCTGCATATATGACACAAAAATTTCATTTTGCTAACAGAATTTGTAAGGGAACGGTTTCCTAAACACTGTAAGTAATACGCCACTATATCTTATCTACCAATCATCAAAATAGGGTTAAAATTACTTGAAAAGTGGTAAAGTGACTAGAGGAAATTGGTTCGACTTCAAAAGTAAATCCAAGCGTTCCTTTTTCCGGAGCTTCCTCGATTAAATTGAGTATTTCAACCCCTTATCACAAAAAGTCCCTACTGCAATTGTACGAGGAGTGATGAATGGTAACGATAATAACGAAGACCAGCAGTTGCTACAGGATGCTTCAACGCTATTGATGTTTGCCAATGTGGCAGCCAAACAGCAGCAACAAGAGCAGCATCACCATCAACAACAACATAATCAACTACAACAACAACAACAAAACCAAAGTCCTGCTGCAATACAGCGTCTACCGCAACTTCATACCAATCAGACACAAATACAGACACAACCACAGTCACTGGCGCTGACGCTGACACAATCTCCTACTACAAATACGGGTCAGATTCAATTTCAGAACTCGTCCCAGATTCAGGGAGGAGGTATGATACTTCAACGTAATGCTCCGCTTATGCAAGTGAACACACAGCTTCCGTCTACCAGTTCTACTGTATTCATATCCTCTAAAGTTCCTCTGGCTGGGAAAACCTATAGCATTCAACAGCAATTGCCTCAGATTCCAGCATCTTATCCGTCGTCATATCTGTCGTATAACTACTACTCCTGTCAGCAACCACAGCAGCAGCAGCAGCCACAACCGCAACAACGTCCTCAGGGCGGAGTAATGTTGCCAATAGCTCCTATGGTTTCACCTCAATTTTACAAACCTGTAGACCTGCTGCAGCTGCAGCCGTATTCTGATCACGTAAACAATGAATACCAGAGAAAACAGTACGAAGCTCACCCAGAGCTACAGAAAGACAGGAAAACGTCTCAGGATAGCGATCATGATCTTCCAAAGCCATCTACTTTTAAACATCATCACTTGCCATCGACTGAACCTTCAAACCAAACTACAGCTCAGTCACAGTCCAAGAGTCCTACGTCTTCAACCATGTCTTCACCTCCTCTGCATCTCCCTGTTCAAGGTAGTTTTGTCACTCCCAGAGGTGCTCCATTACTGATGGATCACGTACCACAAGTTGCTCACAAAAGAACCAAGTCAGAGTCCGATAGAGTCTCATTTAAACATCTGCCTGGTCCGGCCAACGTTGCTCTTCTGGAAAAGGACAAGAGTGGAAGTGCCATGATAGCAGCAGCAGCATTGGCAGCTGCGGCAGATATGCCAATGCCACTGGTCAAGGCTCATAATGCACCTACTATTAATATACTTACGAGTGCTTCATCTCTTCCTAAGCCTACAGCATTGGAAGTGAAAATGGAGCCACCATTGGAACAGAAGAATGTCAAGGATCCTATACCCAGATCTCACCATATAATGCCATCTATTCATATGTTGACCAATCCAACAGAATCCAATAAAGTGTTGCTGGAAACTCGGGAGAAGGTTCTGAGTGAAATGAGTGAAGGCAACATTGGGTCGGCAACGGAATCGCTCGAAACGAGCAGTCTTCAGAGCATTGAAATGGCTCAAGCTCCTTCTTCCCAAGCTAGTTCTGACCACAAGCAACAGCTTGATCGACAGGACAGTAGCAAGTTGGAAGAGAAGGTACAGAGTGTTCCGCAAGCTATAGAGAAACAATTAGGGACAGAAAAAGGTGAACAACACCCTGAGTCAGTGTCGTCCAACACAGAAATCACCGAGTCGAAGCCAGAGTCAATTAGTCACGAGGAGAACACTACTTCACCTACATCGACCAACAGAGAAATCAAAGTAACCTTGAAGTATGAACCAGGCCTTGAAGTTAGAAGGAATACAGTAGGAATTGAACCAAAGGAGAGGCAAGTTGACAACAATGATAATAATGTTACTACTACACGAAAGTACCAACCACCACCACTTGAAACTTACAAGGTGGACCCAGATTTAGGTTTAATTGGGTGTGTTTGTGATATCGATGACGATGACGGCTTCACTATTCAATGTGATATTTGTTTTAGATGGCAGCATTGTCTATGTATGGGATTCATGACCAGTGAAGAGGTGCCTGAAGATGAGTATAAGTGCTATTACTGTGATCCTAACAAATGGGGTAAGTTCAATGCAGAGAAATGCCGAGCCGAGACCTTGGCACGTATAACAAACGAGAAGAAGACCATGGCCAACAATGTACAAGCTACTTCTGGAGCTTCAACAGAGGAGAACACTGAAGAAAAACGTACAGATATGGAGGATTTTACCAAGGAGAAGAGGAAATCACACAATCAAGATAAGTTGGAAAAAAATGAAAAGAGAAGAAAGGTTGAAGAGGGAGGAGGAGATAATGCGATGGAACAATCTGTTGGTGAAAAGCAAATAACTCCTAGTGTACCAGAGTTACCCAATCCGGCCAACCAGCTATTGGACGATGGCATATCAGCAGAGAACTATCAATCAGTATATTTTAAGTTGAAGTCGAATGATTACAAGAACAATTCAGTTAAAGAACATCTTGAGCAAGTAGGCACATACTTTCAGTCATTTGCTGCAAGTTTAACTAAAGCAGAGCAGTTGAAGTTGCCTATTGAGATCCAATCAATGGCTGGATACAAGCAAACCAAATTCTGCAGGATAATTTTACCTAATCAGATTCGCTATCTTCAAAGTCACCGTGAACATAAAGTGAAGACTTCCGGAAGTAGGAACAAATACTCCATTCAGGTGAAGTCTTATAATGAAAACCTGAAGCAAAAGTTTAATGCTGTTTCCAAGCTTGGCCTTTTCCTTTCACTGAATGAGAGTCACGGCCACAGCAACAATCTGGGTCTGAGCCTGACCCTGAGTTCAAACAACAGCCCGTCTGTAGTTCCTGGAGGTACTCCTATAATTGAATATTTGGGGGAAATCAACTTCTTTTCTAGTTATACAGAAGAGAAGATCAACCAATACAAAACCTTGGGCTGTACCAAGCAATATGTCGTTAAAACAACGTTGAACGTTCAAAATGATATGAGCGTGGACTTGGTACTTGACTCAAGGTTTGTAGGGAACGAATCCCGGTTCATAAGAAAAGCATGCCCCAACTCGACCAATTGCAAGATTGTTCCTATTTATATTCATTCTAAGAATCTTTTCAAGTTCATTGTTGTTACCAAACATGATATTGAGTTAACTCCAGAGACTCCTGAGGTTGAATTAAGTTTGGATTGGGATTGGGACGATTCTCATCCGATTCAAAGGTTTTATAAGGACCCTTCAATCAAGTTTGAGCAATTGAATGAAGAAGATCGAAAGAAGTTGATTATTGGAATTGATAATCTCTTGCCATTTGTCGACTGTGGCTGTAACAATGCCTTAGGAACGAACTATCAGTCTCAATGTGCTGTTTTCAAGGTGAAGAAGGCCATTACGTTCTTATTGCGGTCTCAAAGGAAGGCATCACAAATTAGCAATATAAACTTGAGCAAATCTAAAGAAGAACTTTTGTTTCCTCATAGAACAAAGGAGTACCACTCATGGACTGAGAGATTAGGTGATAGAGATAAGTTGATCCAAATGAAGCTTTCCGTGTCAACTTCAGACACCTTGAATGAATTGCAACAAGAACAGGACCATGAACAAGATCCAGAAGAGCAACAGCAAGAACTAGATCCAGAAGTGAAGCAACATGATGACCAAAATCCAGAAGAGAAGCAACAATATGATGAGAGCAATGATAAAGACGAAAGCATTAAACAGAATATGAACGTAAAGGGCCCCGCAATTGCACTTGGAGCCAATGAACAACCCCAAATAAAATCTTCATATAAAGCTTTAATCAAACAACCATACAAGAAGCTTCTAGTTGCCAGAACAAGAGTAAAGATCCTGAATGTCTACTCTACCAAACCAAGTGAGAAAGTTTTGGAGTCAACTCTTGATGTTCCCATTCCTGTCGTGCCTGAAGTGCAGCTACTGATCGAGAAGCAGATTAACGAAGAGTTGAATAAGAATATAACAGAGTTGAAGCAGATCATCAGTCCCCAAGTGATTGAAGCGGCCGTTGAACAACCGGCGGAGATTGTTGTACCCAAAATTCCTCCACAACCCACAATTAAGAAACTTCTGTTTGCTGATTATAAGAAGAAGATGAAATAGGTGCAATATTGTGATCTCATGATATAACAACGCGTAAAAGTAGTTTGCGTTTGTTAATCTAACTTAAAGCCATCAACTTAGAATCACAATAATAGAAGTATACTATAAAAAGGCACTGCACCATTACTAATATAGTAGTACATTTGTCGACCCTAATAATGACCCTTGTAAAGCTCTGTCCACCAATGTTTCGCTGTTCGATGGTAACCGTTGCTTGCGCACTCAATTGATTTTGCAGCCACGCCCATCAGCTGGATCAAGACAGGCAACTGATCGGAAAGCACTGACTTTAAACAGGCGATTCAAATACGGTTCCCGTATGGAGATAAGTATGCTTCAATTTCCGGGACATTAGAAGTGAAAGTTTCCTTTATTGATTTCCACCACTGCCCCGTTCACTGTAATCCATCACAAGCTCAAGTTGGAATCATAGGTTCCATTATTGCAAGGACTGAAGAAGTAATAAATAATATGTATAGAACAATATGCATAGAATAATACGATACGTATAGAATAATACGTTATGTATAGAATAATGTGATGCAGGTGATATTTTATAATATTTTGATTGCCTATTGAAGGCGTCTGGAACTTTTTGCAACAATTGAGCGAGTGCAAATTTCGCATACTAATTCTTGTCTGAAAATTGCTTACTAATTTTCTTTTCTATGGCGGTTATTTTCTTTACTAATTGAATCGCTAATAATATACCACAATGTCTACGTCGGAATATCAAGAATTGCCAGCACAAAGCTTTCTTGCAACTTACAGCAACCGACCTGCTGTTGCTGCTTTAAACGGGTTGTTGAGTTCGTTTCCTGCAATCAAAATCTTTACCGGCAACGCCGTGCCTATCATGGTTTATCGCCAGCAGCAACAAAAGAATGGTGGCCAGTGATGTCGCTAAGCTCAATTTGAGTTAGGTGTCTTGCTTATGTAGCTATTTAGGAGAACCTAATAGAGAGTCAGCTAGTACCAAACTTCAGTACTTTATTGTACACTACTGTATTGTACACCGTACTTGCCCCACACTACTATGTTAGTATTAGTAGTTCATGGAACTAGCACTATATTGAACGGCTATTTGCACCTCTACACCAAAACTACGCTATAATCATAGTAATTTGTATTTTGATGTATATTAATTACGTTTTGGTGAACCTTACTGGTTGATCACAATCATCGCCTGTCGGTTGAAGATGTACCGAGAACCGATCCGGTTTTGCTATGTTAGAATAAATTAAAGTAAACGCGACACTCATTCCCTATTTCGGAAATCAGTGACCTGAATGTTAGAACGTATACACATTTGTTGAAAGATACTTCCTTCTTCGTTGAATAATGCCCAAGGTGTATCAAATTCCTTGACTTCTCCCTTGTCCATAACCAAAATCCGGTCGTAATTAATAATGGTCTTTAATCTGTGGGCAATACACAAAATCGTGCAATTGGTAAATTCCAGTGCAATGGTTTGTTGGATCTTCCAATCCGTTTCGTAATCAACAGATGAAGTGGCTTCGTCCATAATCAAAATCTTGGACTCTCTGATCAAAGCTCTGGCAAACGCAACCAATTGTCGTTCACCAAGCGAAAAGTTTGTTCCATCATCTTCAACTTTTTGGTCCAAATGGAATTTATGAAGGTCATCATTTCCATTTTCTTGCAGTTGTTTAATTGATGCTAACATCTCAGCTTCAATTAATCCTGCTCTACGAAGAGAATCCCACAAATCATCATCGGAATGTTCTCCAAAGGGATCCAAATTTCTTCTTATAGTTCCTTTAAATAACACAGGATCTTGTGGGATAATCGATAACTTCGTTCTCAAGTTATTTAACCCTAAAGTTGAAATATCAATACCATCGATCTCAATTTTACCTGATGATAATTCACATAATCGATACAAGGCAGTCATAATAGTTGATTTCCCAGCCCCTGTTCTACCACAGATCCCAATCTTTTCACATCCATTGATTTCAACACTCATATTTTTAAGAACTAAAGGTAAATCAGGTCTATAACTCATAGAAGCCTTTTCAATCTTGATGCTACCCTTTTCTGGCCATGAAGATGGTGGAGCTGTGGCTTCAATCAAATATGGAGCCTCTTGAGGTAAATCAAAGGCATATTCACATACTCTTTCCACAGAGTTCATTTCATTTTCAACTTGGGTATAGTTCCTAATAACCATCGATAATTGTCCAGCTATTTGTAAGACGTAAGACATCAATAAACCCACAGACGATGCACCAATGTTGAAAACTCTGAAAACACATAAAAGAGAAATGACTAATGCCATGATAGTTGCAACCATATCCAAATGAATGGCAAGAAACCGTTGATTAGCGATGGTGATATAATAAGCTTCATTCGTCTTATTAATATAGTTATTATTCTTTTCCAAGAATCTATTAGAATGCCCATAGGCTTTGATGGTAGGCATCCCATTCAATGTCTCGGAGAAATTGCTATAGATGAATGATCTTTGAACAGCTTCAAGTCTCTTCATTTCTCTGGCAGATGCTTGATAGAAACTTCCAATAGCAATGAATAAAAATGCTAATAAAGGAATAGCTATAGCAAACCATGGCAAATAAACCACACAAAGAATCAATACACCAACAATATTAGCAGCTGTATACACCAGTATTCTTAACAAATTAGAAAGTTCGTTATCCATGACATCGGTATCTTTAGTGAATCTATTTAGGATTCTTCCCATTGGTGTAGTATCCATATAGGACATTGGAGCAAACAAGACTCGACGAACAGATTTAATATTCAATTCCACAGCAGAAGTATTGCAGACATAACCAATTAAAACGAATAAAAGTGTCAATAAAATCAAGGACATTATGGCAAACATCACGTAGATTCCAATGTAAAAATTATCTGGCCTTTCAAACTTATGTGATGTCCAAAACGAAAGCCAAACATTGGTGAAAAGTTGCAGATACACAGAGGTAACAAGTAATAGTAGTAAAAGTGGTAATATACCATACTGACCAAAGATACCTGCTCCATATTTAAGATAATTCTTGTATACTTGAGACAGGATTCGATTAACAGCTTTTGATTCTTGAACCATCAATTTACCATTGGCAGTATTATTCTTATTAAATTCTCTGTGAATGGCTTCTTCATCTTCCACTTGTTGTCTTGTCTTTCTTTTAGTCAATGGAGTATGTTCGTCATCATCTTGAGCTTCTTCATCAAGAACCTCAAATTCATATTCTTCTTCTTCCTCCTCTTTCTTTTCCTTAGCTTGTTCTTCCGAAGAAAATGCCATTAATTTGGTGAACTCAATGTTTCGGGCTGATAATTCACTAACCAGGCCAACATCAATGGTACCATTGCCATTTAAAAAGATAATTCTATTGGCAGAACCAACCAATGAAAGTTGATGAGTGGCCAAGATTCTTGTTTTCTCTTTCAAGAGTCCTAGTAAACATTCATTCATTATATGTTTACCCACCCGAGCATCAACAGCACTTAAAACATCATCCAATAAGATGATATCGTTGTCAGCATAAACAGCTCTGGCCAAGTTAATTCTGGCCTTTTGACCTCCGGATAACGTGATTCCACGCTCTCCAATTTCTGTATTATCTCCAGCAGGGAGAATTTCTAAATCACTTTCAAGAGAACAAGCATAAACCACAGCCTTATACCTTTGTTCGTCGTATGGTAAACCAAAGATAATGTTATCCTTCACAGTAGCATTTTGTACCCAAGGGTATCCACAAAGTAACAAGGAACCATCAACATTGATTGTACCTTGTGTACGATGCATAAAACCTGCTAAGGCATTAAGCAAAGAAGATTTACCAGAACCAATAAGACCGGTGATGACCACAAATTCTCCCTTTTGCATTGTAAGGTTAATATCTTTTAAACCCAGGAATGACTTTTCCACAGAAGAGGATGCAGAAGAAGGTACAATCTTCTTTTCATCATCTTCAGAATATTTAGTGGAGTCATCATCTTTAACGGGTTCTTTCCCAGCATTTGCAACAGCAGAATCTGCATCATCATCATCATCCTCATCCTCTGCAGCAGCTCGTTCCTGAGTAATTTCACTATCATCACTCTTAAAAGATTCCCATTCAAAGGAAGCATCTTTGACTTCAATGGCCAAGTTTTGATCTCTCAAACGGTTCAACTCTTCGCCATGTGCCGAATTAGTGTGCAAGTCACTGTTATCTTCAGTGGAACTTAAGAAGGCACCAACTCTGGTTACACCCAAAAAGGCATCTGCTCCAGAAGATAAAGCTAAAGGAAGCATAATCACCTGTTGAGATAAAATATTGAACAAGGAAAGGGAAGAGAACACAGCAGCAGCATCTCTTCTTTTACTTTTATCAATACCATACATGGCCAAAAAGGTAACCAAAGAAGCAAGTAATGTTAGGGACACAGCCATTGAAACAACCATGTTACGCATGGTTTGCATGGTGTAGATAACCTTCATTTCCTTCTTTCTAATGTTGGAAATATTATCAAAGTAAGGGATTTCCCATGAATAAAACTTGATGATTTTCAAGTTGTTCAACAACTCCTTAATGTACCCGACTCTGGCATCTGTGAACTTAGTAGCTTTGAAACGGAAGCCATAGAGTTTCTTCGTAAGCAGGGCAAAAAATACCATAAAGATCATAAGAAACCCAATACCCACCAAGGAAATGGCTCCAATGTTGGTTATTAAAATCACTATGGAAATAGTCAATGGAACTGGGAATGCCACAAGAAAGGGTTGAAACCCCATGGCAAAGTCAATTCGTGATAAATCAGTTCCCATTAAGGAGGTGATCTTCCCTTGAGGATATTTGTATCTTCCTTTAGCATCCAATAAAAAGGACTTATCCAAGATAGCTTTAGTGAGAACTGCTTTAGCTTGAGCACCGACTAACATTGATCTGTAGAAGAAGTGATTGATAAAGATCCCAGCAGTTAAAACCATGAATGAAGACCCAATAGCGTAGCCTACACCTTTCCCCACCGAGGGTTCTAATCCTAATGTTCGATTAGATACAAATGTGATGAGTCGTTTTGTAAGCAAGGGATTGAGTGATTGAATAACATTGGCCAAAATCAACGATAATACACTCATCAGATATGTCCACCTAAAGGTATAAAATATAGCGCCCGGAGTCAACCATCTGGGTAATTCAAAATCTTCAAGTAAACTTTCTCTTTCTTCTGGTGTTAAGGTGTCTATATTTTTACCATTGCATTTGGCAATCAAATGTTGTTTCTGTGCTCTATCAAGAAATCTATGGAACACTTGATTGAACTCTTGGGTCATATGCTCTACAGAGTAGTTATCTGGCAACGTATACAAGTCCTCCGGTTCGAGGGTTCGGTTGTACCCCTTCAACATAAGGGGATACATCCACCAAAAGAATAGTCTTGATAGTATTGAGGCAGTAGGTTCTGGGTATTCGGTTCTCTCTTCCGGGAGAGGCAAGGGGGCCACCTTCTTAGGGAATAACCAACTTAGAAGTCGTTTCTGACGTATCAACTCTTGAACTTCCAAGTCTCCCGAAGTCATCCTGATTGTATTAAGTTGATAGTTGGTGATGGGGTTAGCAATAATGCGGAGAATAGAAAGATGTCTTGTAGTTGATGAAATAGATTTCAGACAATAATGAAATGGACCTTTTTGATTGATATTTATACTAGCAGCCAAACAAAAGCCCTTTATCGCCGTTCGTTGTGATATGACACATATATGAAATTTTAGCGTTAACTTAGGTATGAAAGATTATATATATTTAAGTTGATGCCTTAGACGGACGATAGTCGCATATAAGCATAAAATCCGATCAGACGGAGCGGACATATGTATTGGGGGGAGTTAGCGCGCTATCAAATATGAATAGTAGTGCCATTTTAAGCATACATATAGAAACGTGCACAGAACCGATTAGACATAAAAACACATATACTTGTTGAATATCTTTGAAGACTGTCCTGGTATACTATATCAAGATGTGTTTGAGCGATGTGACTGGCGGACTTATGTCGGAGTTTATTTTTCTTCATTGGAGGACCGCTTAGATTTGCCACAGTGCGGAGTTTACTCATTACAGTTTGTTATATACAGGGAAAAAGTAGAGGTAGTTCTCTGCTAAGCAGAGGATCAGAAGAAGTCATTTCCCAATATTACGTAATATAATGAGATGTATTACATAAGAAAATGACACACGGATCTGTTACTAAACAATCAAAAGCACACACACACATAATTGCTTTACTTACTTCCAGAACCTACAATCAATGAGTAAACGGTACAATCTCCCATACACATCACAAGATCTACTTCCACAGACATCAGCGTTCCCACCAATTGAACTGGGCTCTTTATTACCAGGAAGAAGTGGATCATCAGTAGGAGGATCAACCACCATACGATTACAACCATCTAAAAATAATAGAAGAAGTCACTCAGGACCTTTTAGTAATGAAATATCCCTACAATTAGTATGGCGGAAAGCTTCTAAGATGATTGGTCGGATATTCAAACCAAATACTCTTGATTTTGAGACGGCCATATGGGAAATATTCCACTTGATCATCAACCCCAAAAAAATGTACCGTTCACATTACTATTATAGACATCAGAATGGAGTGAATGGACTTAATTATACCCGAGATGATCCTCTGTTTTTGATTTTATTAACGGGCTTTTTAACTGTTAGTAGTGTTGCATGGGGCTTGGCTTATAGTCCAAAAGTGGTAGACATTTTAAAGTTGATTGTATATTCGGTGTTTGTTGATTTCTATCTAACAGGTGCAGTAGTAGCTACAATCTCCTGGGTATTGGCCAATAAAGTATTATTCCGAAACTCCGGTTCAAGATACAGTGTTAACTATATTGATTGGTGGTTTTGTTTTGATATTCATTGCAATTCCTTTTTGGTTATTTGGTGTTTGCTTTATCTTTTACAGTTTCTCTTGTTGCCAATTTTAGTTGTTAAAAACTCCATTTTTGGGCTTCTATTGGGGAATTTGCTATATTATGTGGCTGTCAGTTATTATTTCATTGTCACTTTTTATGGGTTCTCGAGTTTACCATTTTTAACTGCTCAAACTTCAAACAACTCTAAACCAGCAAAGACTTTACAAATTATCATTTTGGGTGTGGTATTACCTTTGTTAACAGTGGTGTGGTTATTAGCGACCTTATTTGGTGTCAACATAGCAAACCTTATGGTTGATGCATACTTTAATTAAAAGCATATGTGAGTATGTGAGTATGTGAGTATGTATGTAGTATGCACGCATGTATGTATGTATATATGTATGCATGTATCTATGCATGTTAGAATGTATGTATGTATGACTATACGTATGTATTTGTACATATGTATGTATTTGTACATATGTATGTATTGATATCAATAGGTTAACTTGATGAATTGATCAAGTCTGTCACCAGCAGCTTTAATTCTCATTCCTGTTCTATTACTCAATTCATAATCACCAATGTCACCCACTATCTCTGCTCTCTTTAACCATTCACAAGCTTCAGTAGCCAGAGTATGGACCTTAGCATCAGGTTTTTGGATCCGTAGCATCCAGATAAACATAGTCTTTTCATAAAGAGCTGTAGGATATAAATATGGGGAATAAGTCATCTTTATATGTTTGAATGGTGATATCGAGGTGACATATTGACTTAAAACTTCTTGATCCAAAACAGCCAAACCTTCAGTAAGTTTTCCTAAAGATCTAAGCACAATGGACTTTAAGAATTCCTTGATCATCAATTCATCTTTGAAATTCTTGTGTTTTTCAGGAAGAGGATATTCCAAAAGCTTCAAGGACAATTCCAACTCATCATCGGATTTACGGTTATACCCATTCCAAAAATAAACCAATTCGTGGATTGGCGAGGCTCCAATGCATTCAACAAATTCAAGATCGGGATTAGCTGAAGAAACTTCACTAATAGTCTTTAATTTTCGTATTAAAAAGTGGTCAAAAGGCATCTTTTTGTTGCCACCTCCAATACCTCCCTTCTTACTATTAGCTCCAACTCCTGGAACATAAGAAGGAGCAAGTTCATTCATATACTTTTTAGTCAATTCAGAATACTTCTTCAAGGAAGCAGGTTTATCTTCAACAGCAACCAAATCCATCTTAATCATTCTGTACATCTCATTATAACATGAACCAGCCATAAATAAGTACACTGCTTTGGACCAAGAATTGATATCAACTAACCGAATCAAATCACGAGCAGCATTATCATATTGATGTTTAAAAGCATAGAACATAGCTCTATCGAAAAGCATCAATGCTTCTGCCTGTTGCATTTGTATTTTATTACTTGGATTGTCAGTGAACTCTTGCATCATGTTAACTGCCTCTGTAACCTTACCATTAGAAGCCAACATCCTACCGTATTGTAGGATCCACAAGGCATTATGAGGGAAAATATCCCGGGTTCTGGTAAGCACTTGGGGGATATATTTATGAGGTTCATGTAATATTTCATCCAACTGTAAATCTGTTAAGGACGTCAAATTATCAACTCTTTCCAACGTATGTGATTCAAATGACGCTGATTTAGACCTCAAATGTGGAGGTATCTGGAATCCTCGATCAACAAATTGAACAGGCCCATCATAAAAGACCAAAATACATAATAATGCCAAATCCCCATGTATGTTTCTTGTTGTAATGGCATTTTTCCATAATAATTTTAACCCAACATCTCTATCACCTTTGAACCCCACAATGGATAATACCTTACCAATTGTAGGAGGGATAAGAGAAAGTACAACTTGCAAGATCCCAAAACACAATTGGACACCGGAATGAATGAACTCATCAATGGTTCCAACATTAACTCGAGGATCTAATCGTACCTGGACCAGAGGTGAGTTCGACAGAGGTTCATCAATAGATTCACCACTAAAGTCTTCAAAAGCATCTGAAAATTGATCATTATCAGAATCAGAATCATCATCTTTTGCTGCATCATTATTGCCATTCAGTCTAATATTATTGTCCTTCATGTCGCTCATACTATTCACAGTGACATTGCTGTTATTGATGCTTGTACCATATATACGCAGCTTTCTCATTTGATAAACCTTCTCCAAGTCGTTTATCAACCTCAAGTCCATTGGTATATTCACAGAAGACAGTGAAGCATCCAGTACATAACCTGGCAAATCCACCGACGACGTTGAGCGAGACACAGGAAGGGACTCAAAGGCAGGACTTGGAGCAGATAAACTATTGAACTTAGATTCCTTTTCCTTCATCTTACGATAAATGGAGTCTAAAGCATGGTAAGCCTTACGTAATTTGAATAAAGCTTTAGCTTGTTCCATCATCCCGTTGTTCTCACGCAAAAGCATCACCAAGGCATTCAATAACGTCAGTTCAGCCAAAGTCACCTGAAACTCAGTCCCTGGTGGGTATATTCTGGAAGTCTGTAGTTTATGTTTGATATTGTACTTGTTGTTGGCCATGCTTTGAGATTCAGCTTCGTCTAACGTCCGATGAGCTTTGTCCATGACCTCTGATTCGAATCCAAGAGTCGCCTCAATGAATTCCATGACTCCTAGAGCCAACGTAAAGATTGCAGCTGGCTGATCAGATTTGGAATCCTTATGCTTTTTGATTTCATCCTTCAAAAGTTGCACCCCTTGTTCTGTGCGGTCGTCCAAAAGATAATCCATAGCCTTCAAGGCGACTTCGAAGTCATGCACTTGTTTGACGACCTTCGAATGAACAGCATACGAGCCTGAACTTGAGCCTGACACAGAAGCAGAACCGGAAACAGATTGTCCTCCTCCCAGCAATATGCTTGAAGCCGTAGAAGCCGAGGAAGACGCAGGTGCTAAAGAGTTGGCATCCAGGGAAAGCAGAAGCAAAGAAGTCTTCTTACGCAAGCTGCGAAACATGTGAGCCTATTTAATATTATCAGTATTGTTAAGTAGGTATAAGGTGAATGCAATGCAGTGACAAAAAGAAACCAACAATAAAAATCTTAATGACAGTAATATGATCAGGCCAGTTCAAGAGAAGTTTATGGGATAACGTCAGCAACAACCCAAGACGTTCACCAGCTACCAGTTTAGTATCTCCAAGTGGCTATGAAAGGTCACTGGACGTAGTGTACTTTTGAACAAGTGACACGGGAGATGAGGAAGGAACTAACGGATAAATATGCCCAAGGATAACCCCCACTAAAATATTAAACCTGTAGAAACACTCGTGTGTATTTAAAGAGTACACTCGCTTGTATTGTTATTAATACTAGTGCTGTCACTGTTAAGCTGAACAAGTTATATAAATAGAGGAGAGAGTCGTGTTCCGCCAATGGGATATCAAATGAACAGCAAGAGAACGTTCGTACATAGGTGTCAAAAAATCCAAATATAGGAGAGATCACGTGAGATAAACAGTACCGTTTAGATTTACGCGTCGTAATAAGTTGTCGTAGAACCTGAAGTAGGACTTTGGTTGCGACCTCCTATCTTAAACGAGTAGTTGGAAACAGACGATTCATTTCCAAATACAGGCTCTATTGCTATGTTGGGTTGCACTCATATCAAACTTGTTTGATGTGTATCAAACATGTCTAAGGGTATCGTAGACATACACGCTTGCCTTGAATATCAAAGTGTAAATTATAAAAGTGTATCATACATTTACATTAGACTATCTTACATATATATATGTGCATCGTATTTGAGCATGTCGTACAAATATTCGCCGTACGTCAAAAAAGTATGTCGCACATATCGATAGTAGTTTTAATGAAAACATATTATCACACACTCACATATATATATATACATACACATTTTATCTATACAGAACATTGATATAAACATTGATTGCTAACATTAGTTGCCGAGCTGAGATTTGTTGAATTCTTATTCCGTCCACTTGATGAAATACCGCCATGCTTACATTGCGTTTCCTAGGAACACTGCATATTACGAATGCAAAATTCATACGTTAAAACTCTTACCGAGCCTGAATTCACCAACTGCAACTAATATGCATCTCATTAACAGTAATAACGTTCTCCAGATGAAATTCCAACTACACAAGTATAGAGATTATGAGATTGTGATGGACTAAAAATTTTAATAATAGTATTATTGTTACATTTGCAACGTTTATTGCTTTCACTTAAAAAAATACATAAGCTCTTATTCTTCTCTTCAAGCATCCCCAACATCACACTCCTTCGGCTAAATGTATTAAAGTTACCTCAAATCTTGAACACCGTCGATTTAAAGCTGAAATCAGGAGTATTCAGAAACACTAACCTAAATTTCAAAATAATTCTTAACTGTGGTTTATTTTCTCCAAGGTCCTCTCTGCTTAGGAAATTTAAAATAAACTCTATAGTGGATTAGCTTGTCAGGTGTTGCCAAAGAACCTAGCATTGACCGAAGGAAAGATGGCTTAAACTCTATATAATATTTGAGGGAATGAAATTTGGTCAGGGTCACTACTAGGACCTTTTCTTCATAAACTTTATTATGCATGAACTGTCAAAATATTATGTGGTTTGTTTTGAGCCATGCAACTACCCTTACATCATTGGCAAAAAACTGATCGTTTTTTTCTTAAAATTTAATGTGATGCATGTTATTAACTGATTTCAAATCTACTGATATTCCATTTTGGATTGTATCCCCCAATACCTGATCTCCGCGGGGACTCAATCAAGACTCAGGTGATTGAACATTGTAAAAAATAAATTGTGTCCCAGAATCGGCCTCAAGATTTGAGACATCCTGATTTACCGCTCGAGATACCTCAAAGTATCTAGAGGCTGAACCACTAGCTAAACATTAAAGCAGATTAGTAAGCTCTGAACATGTACTACTAATTTAATATTAAAGCAGATTAGTAGTTGTGTTGAAGGATCTTTAAACATCAAAGTCTTATTACATCTTGGTACGGGAAAGAAAAATTATTACATTTCCGGATAATATATGAAAATTACCGACTCATTGGACCTTAAGCCTCTATAGAGTATTGCGTTCTTATAAGCTAATAGAAAATTATCCAGACCACTGAAGGTTTTTGTACGTCTGCCCTAAGAAAAGTTGTGTTCACCTTTCTGTGAAATCTTTGGTTCAAAGTGACGCAAAGGCTGATTTAAGTAACATAATTGTTAAAATAGGACCCGTTTACAAATCAAGAGGCAATATTGAGACTTTTATTGCCGGTATAACTTTAACTACAGTTAAAACATGCGATAATTGTTAGATTTTTTCTTGAAAACCGAAGTTCTCAAATAATAATCGGAGACATGAGATCGATGTCCGTATTACTGAGTTCTGCTGCTAGCAACATGTTATTTAGCACATTTAACATTTGTATTGTGAACTATCCTGTTGTTTTCTTGTGCCCTATTGTTTTTGGGTAATCAAAAATTTTCCTTCTCTAGCACTCAGTTCTAATAGCAAGGCCTTCTTTACTGTGTTCCTACCAGGGTCCACCCAAAGGAGGACTCACATTCGTAAGTAAATCTTCATGTACCATTCCTGTAGTTAATTGTTACGATGTAGTCAAAAACAGAGAATAGAGGTCTATTGTTCTGTATTCCCCTCTATATTATGTGCTTACATGCACGATTGAAGATCTTCAAAAAGCTTCATTTGCTACAAAGAGTTGTTCAAGAACTATTTCGAGATAACGCATGCAAATGGCTAATGCATATCTCTTAATTGCGTTCAATTTCATCTGTATTCAATGTGGCCTGGTCTATCGAAACTTTGTATCTTACTGGTGGCATCTTACCTTTATTAAATAGACGCTACATAGTAACTTAATATTGTAAAAGGCCAAGTAATATCATGGTGCGTGATAAGGTAAAAGTGCTGGTTATGCCTACTTTTAGCCTCTTATATAAAACACTTTTCATTCTGTTGTAAGATTCAAGCCAACAATCATGGGTATGCTAATGGGATGTAGACGTATAAAAATAGGATCTCAATAAATATGCAAGTAGTATTAAAAATTGCCTACACACTGTTGAGCAAAATCTAGAATATAAGCATCTTTTAAGCTTCTCATATCTACAGAGTTGAACTGTAAACTAAGAGAAAAAGAAAACACATTCACGAATCAACATGAACTTTAACCCCGAAGAAAAGGAGACTCTTAGCTTAATATATACCCTTTAACAGTCCATGTGGTGCCATAAAATACGTACTTTTTATTTTGATCGCTTACTGTAGCTTGATTTTCTTCTATCGTAAGGTAAATACCACGAACCAGTCAACTCCAGACTATTCCTCCGAAACGCAGTGCAAGATTCTTGTTTGCTTGCTTGTGTGGGTTAGGAGTCAAACACAATGTGCCTGTAGCAAGCTCAATTATAGTCAGCAATCATAGTTTATTCGAAAAGTAGTGCACAGTGCCTACTGGTTGAGACATTGAAAGACGTCATGGGCTAAACTATTCTACGAGTTAGTTTCAAAACTTTAAAGGTGTAGAATGGTACAATTCTTTTAGTTGAAAAGCTGGACATTTGATACAATAGGAGTCTGCTGGGCTATCCAAACTTGGCCAAGCCAGGAGTTTTAGTTGGTCATTTCCTCAAATTTCTCAATGCGAAGTAGACCAGGTGTGCATATTTTGGTCAGCTTAATTTAACTAACAAAATTATTTTATTGGACCTGCGGAGGCATCGGAATATTCAGCCAAATACCACGACTATCTTTATGAGTCGATAAATATAACTGGAAGTATTACTTGATGTGGTCTAAAGTCGTCACATCCGGGTAGTTTACTCTTGGTACTTTAAGTGTTTACTTTTGCCGACATGGGGTAGCATATGGTGGTAGAGATTTGGCGCTTAGGACATCTGACTTACATCTTGCAGCCATTGTGCATAATAAATTTCTGCACAAGGGGAATAATCCGGAATGCACAATATCTTAAACCACGTACATATACACGTAATTATAGTTTCCAAAAAATAACTTGATAATAAAAAGCCTTGTTTTGTATTGCATTGAGGTTATTCGTGATTATTGCAAAACAATTTAACCATTCAACAATAAACAATAGTCTGCGGAAATTATGTGGCTAAGAATACAACGCATTAGTATGGTGCCATATGAGACAAACTCATTAGCATATTCAAAGTCGTAAGCATTGAAAGCTAAATTGCAAGCACAATTATATCTAACAAAACGGAATAATAAAAAATCTCAAAGGCAAGAACGCAAAAACTTGAACATCTCCAAATCTGTAGAATATAAAACCAACGTTGCTTCCAGCTTAATCTGGAACGAGCGTATTTTCCGTTTCCATCCACAACCAATTTTTTTGCAACTAAATATTTTGGTCCTTAAGTGACATCCTACAACAGAACGATCCCTCAAACAAATCAGCGTGATTGTTTGTTTGGCTATTATTGCTAGATAATTTTATAAATTCAAAGTTGTCAGGAATGCAATACATATTGACTTTACTAGCGATTTATTTCGCCCAAAATGTTATGGCTGCTCCAGCCTACTTCACAGTCACAGCAACAGCAGATGCTAGAACTACAGTGGTGCCTGTAGGTCTCTTGACCAAGACACATCGACCTACTACAACATTCCATGAAATCCCTTACTTCTTGACTGCTACTGCAAATAGTCCAGTTGCTTCTTCCCCCTCCAGTTCCACCTCCACTTCTAGTTCCAGTTCAAGCTCTTCCACTATAGTAACTACCACATCTTCAACCGAGGCTGCTCCAACTTCTACTGAGACATCTGCTCCAGATGCTCCAACTTCTACTGAGACATCTGCTCCAGCTGCTCCAAATTCTACTGAGACATCTGCTCCAGCTGCTCCAAGTTCAACTGAGTCGTTTGCACCAGCTCCAACGGTGTTGTCAACATCATCAACATCATCATCGTCATCAACATCAACATCAACATCATCAACATCAACATCATCAACATCAACATCAACATCAACATCCTCAACATCCTCAACATCCTCATCAACGACAACGTCAGCATCATCAACTGTGTTGTCATCATCAACATCATCAACATCAACATCAACATCATCAACATCATCATCATCATCATCAACATCATCATCATCAACTTCCTCAACATCCTCATCAACAACAACGTCAGCATCATCAACTGTGTTGTCATCATCAGTTGCGTCTACGTCAGCTTTGACTTCATTTGAATCTGATATCTTGGATGCACACAACCAAAAAAGAGCTTTACATGGTGTTCCAGCCTTGAAATGGAACGCAAAAATTGCTGCCTACGCTGCTGCCTACGCTGCTGTTGCTTTGGACTGTAACAACTTACAATTGGTCCACTCTGGTGGTCCATACGGTGAAAACTTGGCTGCTGGTTATGTTGGTGGCTATTCTCCTGTCGATGCCTGGTACAACGAAATCAAACTTTACAACTACTCCCAACCTGGATTCTCTCCGGCTACTGGTCACTTTACTCAAGTCGTCTGGAAGAGTACTACAGAACTTGGTTGTGCCATGCTCTTATGTAACAACGCGTGGAGACAATACACCATTTGTGAGTACACCAACACAAGAGGTAATATTGTTGGTACTAATCCTGCAACTGGTAACAATTTCTTTGTGGACAATGTTCTTCCTCCATTGGATGGCAACTATATCCACAAGAGAAACGTGTTTACATAGAATTGATAATAAAATATTAGTGTATTTAATTCTTCTGCTTTTTATATTCAATAAGATATTTCAGAATTAGATTTGGCCACCGTTGTTGTAGAAGTGGTATAAGATAGATTACTACGATAAGTGTTGAGTGTCAATCTGCAAAATGTTAGTATTTAGTTTTATTTTTCTGACGGCTTTCCTTCTAGATTACCACATGACGCATATGAATGTTTACAAATCTGGGAGATTCGCACATTCTGCAGATATTGACGTAGTCTACTGCAAGATCCAAGGTCATCAGAACTAGTTTCACTCCCCTACAGCACGTGACGCGGCTTATATTTATCCCCTCAGGCGTATAGGCATACCTCGCTCAAAAACACGAAAGAGTGGTACCTGGGGGATAGAAGGAATACATTTGCTGTGGGGCCGAAAGTCTGTTCGAGTTTTCTCGCAGAGAGAAAGGCGGTTTTAATGATGTTTAAAACATTACCTTCCTTTGGTATCAATCTTTCACTACTTCAAAATTATGATTTTTGTAGCTCTCTTTAAGAAATGACCTTACTTTTGTAAATTACAATATGGAGTGCTGGTATTTTAAAATTCGTCTTTTTTTTGAAGCTGGGAACAATAAGGCTTTTCTATTGTTCCCTTTTGATTATTGCCAAATGCACTGCTTTCAGATATCGCGTTTTTAAGTGGTACAACTTTATAAACGTAAAGGATTGAATAAGTTTATCAATTAAATGATGATTTAATGCATAGTTTACGTCAGAATTATTTTTTAAAATCATATTATGTTTTTATCAACATCATATGCTCTGTATCAAAGTCTTCTTGACTGAAATGTACACTTCGATGGTAACGTTTCAAATGTTAAGGCATCTATTCTATTCTTCTATTTGTACGCTGAACGTTTATCAACATCATCTCTATTGTTGCATTATGTTAGTTATGCCATTATTCTGCGCAAGGATAAAGTAACTGATTGTTGCCAGCCACGTAACTTTCGCTGTAGCTTTTGAAATACGAAAAGACGTGTACAAACCAAACCGTTAAAACAAAGGGACCGCAGTTTATTCAAGTGAGTACTTTAAAATAGTTTAAATGCTAAACAAGAACAGTAGACAAGTATAAAACAGTTTATATGTAAATAATTAGATATATATATTTAAAACCATTGAGGTTTTATGTGCAACAAACAAACGACTGGTTAGTTAAATTGTTTTAGGCTACACACGCAAGAAAGTAATACTTGTTCCTGGACAGAAGATGACATGACATGACATGACATGACATGACTTGGCATTGCATGACAGTACATGTTATTATTAAAACATAATTCATAAACTTATTACTGTTTACCCGATGTGCGCAATTACAAATGGAATTAAACTGTAACGTAAGGCTGAGAATAATTACGAGCAAACATTTCAAGTTGATAATGCCTTTGTAATGCAATTGTAGCTGGTTGCATGCTTCAAATTGTATAGTTATAACATCTTATTATTTAAAAAGTACATAATGATCGTGTACATATAAAACCTAAAGATAAACTATATTTAGTTCTTCAAAACTTGAGCAAATTGACCCTTAGATGGCTTGGCCTTGGAACCAGAAGCCTTAGCAGAACCCAACTTTTCAGCAGAGTAAGCCTTAGCGTAAGGGTTCAATCTCAACAAAACTTGCTTGTTCTTCAATGGGTTCTTCTTCAAGACGTGAGATCTCTTTTGGGTAGCTTGACCAGCAGGTCTAACAACAGCTTGGATTTCAGCAGAGTTGATTAATCTGGTGACGTCAGTGTTGGTGATGATGTTAGATGGTAAAGTGTAACCAGACTTGATAGACTTGGTAGCATCGGAACCGTAGACAGAGTCCAAAGATTCAAAAGCACCTTGGGTCCAGATGATAAATCTACCCAAGTGAGCACCAGGAGCCAATTGTAACAAACCCAAGTGCTTAACGTTAGCGGTTTCAACACCTGGAACGTTTCTCAAAGCCTTGACAAGACCATTATCTTGAGAGTAGACAACTAATGGACCTCTTCTTTGGGTGAATCTTCTACCTCTCAACTTACCCTTACCGGCTCTCAACTTCTTGGACTTGATAACCTTAACAACATCCTTGTGGGCACCAACAGCCTTCAAGACAGCAACAGCTTCCTTGGTCTTGGTAACACCTTCAAAGTCGTTAGCAACAACTAAAGGTAATTCCTTAACTTGTTCAACTCTGTGACCTCTAGCCAAAACCAAAGAAGTAACGGCAGAAGCAGCAACAGCAGAAGCAGTAGCGTATCTCTTTTCGTTGTGGTTAACCTTGACGTGCCACTTTCTCCAGGTCTTGGTAGGAGCAAACATACGACCACCTCTACACATGTTACCAAAAGCAGCTTGACCAGATCTGTGGGTACCACCACCACCAACTCTTGGAATTCTGGCAACAGCTCTACCAGTACCCCATGATTCAGCAGAGGTTTGGTGACCAGCCTTTTCAGAAACGGCATAAGCTTGTCTCTTGTTCTTGTTGACCTTGACAAAGACAGAGTGGACAATGTCTGGTCTGACAGGGGCAGCGAAGACAGCTGGGACTGGAACTTGGGTGGACAATTGTTCACCACTGACGGAGATGACGGAAACTTGAGGACGAGCAGACATCGTTAACGTATGAAGAAATGATAAGGAGAAAAAGAAGTCTTAGCAAATTGTCTAGTGTGAAAAATTAATCTACTTTTATTCTTTGCATCGCAAGTGAAAAATTTTTCATTCACAAAAAGTAGCTTGGGTTTGTGTCACTAATAACCTGAACCAAGGAAATGGTGTTACCCGGACATAACAAACCGGATTTTCCTTTTTAGGAAAGTATGCTCCCGTGAATCTAAGGACTAATTTAATAATTAATAGTAATGTAAAACTAACAAAATTGTATGTGTGATAGGAGTGACCCTAGCAACATGATGACAGCAGCAGCAGTCTCAGTTGTCTATCACCTCTACCTAAATCGACTCCACCAGTTCTTCTACCTGAGTAAGTGCTTGATCTCGATCTGGTACCAGCTGCACCACCTGCCCATTCTTGAATTCTTTGATCTAAAGGCAAAGCTCTTGCTATTCGATTGAATATATCTAAAACACCATCCCCTGATTTGGCCGAGCATTCTGCCGACAACACTATATTTTCTGAACCATCTAAAGATTCCAAGTATTCTGTAACTTGATCTTGAGTAACCTTACGGTCTTGTTCTAAATCCAGCTTGTTTCCAACAAGACAAATGACTATCCCCTCTGGCGCTTGTTTCTTCAACTCATTAATCCAATCTTTAGCTCTTTCGAACAGTTGTTCATTTGTAATATCGTAAACACATAATGCAGCATTTGCCCCTCTATAATACATTGGAACCAAAGATTTATATCTTTCTTGACCTGCTGTATCCCAAATTTCAAACTTGACAGTGATCTCCTTCTCTGGAACATCAACAGTTTGGGTTAAGAAAGCTGCTCCAATAGTGGATTCACGCATATCATCAAAAGTATTCTTCACAAATCGATGAACAATACTACTCTTCCCCACAGCACTTTCTCCCAACAGTACCAACTTGAAAAGCGCTAACCGAGATGTTTGACTGTTCATACTCTTTTGTGGTGAAGCCATTGTCATTACTGAGGGACCTGCTCGTTAGTTTCTTGGTGGCACTTATATATGCTTAATGGAGTAATAACAATCTCCACTATGTTAATGTGTGCAACAACTGACTGCTTCTATGCAAACGATTTGTTCCGACTTGGACCAGCAGTTACTGCAAAGTTTATCCGATAAGGTTCCGATTGAAGATTAAAAGTAGTTTCTGCGTTTCATATATCTTGATAATGGATGTCGCTGATTTACCCCTACCAAGACACTATATACAGGCCTTACGAATGTAGTCAGTGACGGTCATAGTATAAAGGAACATAGCATGAGTGTACACTTTCTTTGTAATGTTTGATAGGACTATGTCTATGATAGAATAAAGCATTACCTACTATATATTACTATACTATACTGTACTATACTACATTATACTATACTGTACTATATTTCACTGAATATCACACTACTGGCTATTTCACAATACTAATACTATGGGTTGAGTAGTACACACAGAGTGACAACCTAAACTTACACTATATAGAAGCAACTTCAGTATTCAATAAAATAATTATATAAATTGTGTTGGATAAGAGGAGACCAATAAGAACCTTATTATTAGTACAGCAACTTTACTCGACTTTAAGTTGACCGTATATTTTGCACCCAATTATTTGCGAATGCGGAAGACGTCGATCATTAGATTAAAGATCTTCTTGATGCAAAGCATTGATTGGTACGGATTTTATCTTACAATGTGCATTTTGCATAAGATTTTTAATACTGCAGTGTAACATGCAACTTGACACAATTAATCAATCTCAGTATTCGTATGATTATTATACGAACATAAGATAAGGTATAATTGCCCTTACACTTTGATAAACCGCGCTACCATATCTGGCGTGACCAGCGCACTCTATTTTCCCTTGCTACGGTATTGTAATCTATAATGCTAAAGTGTTCAATTAGCTATAAATATTATCATAGATACATAACAGACACCTCAGATGCGTTCCTGCCAGGATGAAGTATGTACAAGAGCAGTTCAGGCAATATGAGCAAGATCTAGTTTTCAATCTTGGCCAAGATCTCCTTGTCACTGTACAACAAATATTCATCTTCACCAATCTTGACTGGAGAGCCACCGAAAGAAGGCAACAAAACCTTGTCACCAGCTTGAACAGATGTAGGGATAGTATCACCGTTAGGTCCGATAACACCAGGACCAGCAGCAATGACAGTGGCTTGGTTCAACTTTTCCTGGTTCTTTTCAGGAATATAGATACCACTGACAGTTTGAGTGGCTGGCTTGAGTCTTTGAACAAGAACTCTGTCAAACAATGGCTTTAAAGCTTGGGCACTCTTCAAGAAAGACATGATACTAATTGGTGGTACGATGAATATAGTAGAAAGTATAAGTGATTAATAACCAAACCAAAATTTTCACTTCGGAATCTTATGGAAAACTTGGGGATATATTTGAGCCATACACGACAAAACTTATCACGTGACATCATAAAGCATATAACCTTGCAATACAATAAATTAACGTATATATATTTATACTATAAAATTTTCTTAATCCAAATATCTATCCAAAGGTTCACCCAATACATTTTCAATAACTTTAACCAACCCACTTCTGACTTCAAGTTCAACTGCCTCATCATCATCTTCCAAAAGCTCTGCAATATATGGAATAAATGTAGGAAGATGCAGTAACCATTGATCACCAATCTTCTGGAAAATTGCCTTTAAGGATCTGATGGTCCAGATCTTGGTATTGGAAGTCAAAGCATCGTTATCATTAGAAACGAACTTAATCAATGTATGCACCAATTGATCATTATAATCATCAGATACAATGTTACCAACAAAACTAGCAATACATTTGACCAAGTATTTCCCAATGCCTTCTTCAATATTGGTCAATTGCAGTAACAAAGGCTGAGAGATGGTCTCAAATCTCAGCACCTGAGACCAATAGTCGTCTTGATCATATTTAAAGGCTGAAGTCAATGAGATTAACATTAACCTTCTTAAGCCAACATCAACTATCTCACCATTGGAGAATCGGTTCAACATTGAAACAACAGCTTCTAATAAATAAGAATAATAAGATGTAATAATACCTCTCAATTGCTCTTGCAACTTGTTGAAGAATCTAAAGAAGGCAGCCATCCGGGAAAGCTCATTGGTAGCCAATCCAATGGTAGATCCTTCACCATTGACTGCCCATCTAACAATGTTGGCAAACAAAGGACGGAAACTCTTATCGTTCAACTTCATGATATAATTGATACCACATGTTGCGAAATTGTTCTCTAAACGGTGTAAGGCATTGTTGTCGAACTCACCTTCATGAGCCAGTCTGAATTCAAAGGTACGAATCAACCATTTCATGAACAAACTTGAATGTGCATTACAGGACTTCTTATCCATAACCTCAATAGTACTTTGCATTGTACTCAAGTATAAACCAAGTTCAACTGCATTGGCTTCTTCACTAAACTTGGGCCAAATGTTGCACAAGGACTTCAACACAACTCCGGTATCCATATGTTGGATGATTAAGTCTAAAACACTAGATCTGATTGAGGATTCCACCAAGTCACTTTGTAAGGTAGCAAGGAAGATCAAGTCCAAGCTGCTATTCATGAAACTGGGGATTTTTCTTACCAAACATGAGAATAATAAGATAATTGATGTTTGAAGCATCTGATCTTCCTGTTTAGGAACAACCTCTTCAATCTCAACATCATCATCTTCAGCAGCAGAACCAGAATCAGATTCGGATTCAGAGTCAGATTCAGAGCTAGAACTAGACTCAGTTACCTTCTTTGAACGAGAACCAACAGTTGAAGACCAGATCTTTAAAGCTGGTGGAACGATCTTGGGGAAGAACCCAATAATCTTGACACCGAGGGTATTCACAATAGATGAAATTACGTTGATCGAAGAAACAACTATCTCAGGGTGATCACTCAATAACCCACTGGTAGATGTTATGATACTCAAAGACTCAATCAAGATCTTGGAGTTCTTAGGGTTGGTCAATTCCTTAGTACAAATACCAAACTTGTTCACTATAGTAGCAAAGGTATTCAAATATGCTTGATCCAATTCAACATCAACATTCTTCTTGATACCCTTCAAAATTACAGGGATCAACTTCTCAATAACAACGGTCTGGACCTCTTCGGTAATGGTGTTGGTATTCAATTCAACATCAAACTTCTTGTCTGTAAGAATAGCAAAGTTTCTGGCAATCTTAATGGCCAACAGATCAGCCATATTATCGATGTCCAATGATGGGCAGATGCTTTCAACAAAATATGAAATAGGCAACAAGTTCAAGATGGTATTTAACAACGCATACAAGCTTCTTACCATTTTATCATCAACACCACCAGCATTGAAGGTCTCCAAACTACTCAAGATAAATCCGGTGATATCCTTTATGGTCTTCAATGTTTTTTGCTTGACTTCAGCACTGGTTCTGTCATCAATAAGTTCCACTGTAACCTTCAACTTCAAGGCTTGACGGTCTCCCATGTTGTAAAGACTATCGTCTGATTCCAATAGCTTGTTCAAGTATTTTATCAAGTCTTGCTTCAATACTGCCAATTCCTTATCGGACAACGATAAGATAGACACCCCAAAAATGGATCTGGTGGCCAATTCAATGTACTCAGGACTACTGCTGTCCAATTGAGTGGTAGGCAACATGTTCCACACCTTGTAGAACCCTTCAATGCTTGCCAATTGATCCACGGCTGTGAAATGCTTAAGGAAAACAGTACCCAATTCCACAAGTGACTTACACTCGTTAATCTTGTTGCTTTGTAAGGCAGAAGCATATTGTTGACCAAACATGAACAAAATGATATGCAAAGAGTTTTCGCTTCCCAAGGTATTCACCAATGAGGTGAAAAGCTTAACGCGACGGTGTCTTGGAATATGTTGGACAGCAGCAACAAAACTTGTTAAAAGAAACTCAATCTCTTTGCTCATACTGGACTTCCCATTGGCGGCCAAGGCAGGTATAACTTTGGCAATTGTTTGTTGCAATGCTGAATTGGAAAATTCATCGTCTTGTCTCACGGTATGTGCACCCATAAAGGTGAAAATAGGCATTACAGAATGAAGAATGATTTCTGGAGCCAATGAGGCCAATTCTGCAATCACAAGTAAAAGTCTATTTTGAACTTGAGGTGATTGTGAAGTCCGAATAGAATTAACAATCAAATCAGCTCTAACTGAATTGGAATCGAAAACCACACTATTAGCAGCACTAGTCTTCATGAGTTTAATACTCAATAACATACACGAAGCCAAAGCTTCTTGAGCGTACAACACCGGAAGGTTACCGTCATTACCCAAATACTCCAACTGAGTCAAAATGTTGAATAAAGCTTTCAACAACTCAGGAGATGCAACTTCGGCATTTTCTTTCCTTAAGATGGCTTCTAAAGTATCCAAGATGATAGTAGCCTTTCTCAAATGATGTGTAGCCATGCTACTAATATCTTCTCTTGCCATGGCTTGCTTAGTGGAGTTGGATGATTTTCTTCTTCTCTTTGGAACACCTTGATCAGGTACTTGACCTCCTATTTGAACACTTTGAAGCAAAACAATCATGCTATCATGGTCTATGTCTAATGATTGTAAAGAGGCAATGGGGTCAAATTCAATGTAGTCCTCATTTACTAAGCATTCCACGTAGTTGGACAACAACTTAACCTTAAGGTCAGTTGAGGTCAATGAAGGGAATAACTTGATAATTCTTTGATCCACAAGGGTTTGCAAATCTGCTGAATCACCAGTTAAGCTGTTGATTAACCATTCAACTTCCTTCTTTACGTTCTTTTCATTTGAACCACCACCAACTAAATTAACAATGGGTACTTCAACGTCAGTTTCAAAGTCAAGACCAAAATAAGTGGCTTCTGATTGCCAGGAATCTCTCTTGTTTAAGTACTCGGCGACATCTGTGTCCATAAAAAAAAATCTGTCATCACCAGCACCACCACGACAGTTTTCAACAGAGACAACCTTCCAGGCAGGACTCTTAAAGACGACAGACCAAGTTGCAAGTGCCCATTGGTTCAATACAAACGTCTTTAAAAGTAATTGACCAAACTTCTTTTGTCCACCTTTGGTAGCCTTGAATAATCCTTCAAAGAGAACACTGTTCAAACGGCTATTATCAATGACAACGTCTTGCAAACTGGAGTCAGAATGTAAGACCGTCAACATCTTTAAAGCATCTGCTGGAGGAATAATGGCTCTTTTGTTGGTTTGAATACCAGCATATATTTGTTCTTCCATGAATAGCTTTCTCATTGAAGATGATTTGGATTTAGAAGTGGAGTTCAAACGTTCCAGATTGTCCTTAACAATGGATAACAAGTCGGCCATACCAGCTCTAAGGGCCTTCACAGGATTATAGAGTCCCAATAACAAAATGGGTGTTAATAAGTACAATTCAATATTGTCTTTGGAAGTTGAAATGTCCTTCAACTTAATTCTCAAGTATCTCAAGACCGATAATCTAACAGCAAGCGGTACACTAGGCGTAAACACTACTCTTAAATAGAACGAGAATGCTGCTTCAACATCAACAAAAACCAAATTGGAAAACTTTGAAATCAAAATTCTTTGTTGCTTGAGGTTGAGATTCTGCAATTGCTTAAGAAGATCCATAACAAGGGGTTTGAATTCCTCTGTAGTGGAGGAAATAATGAAGGAACCTGTTTGAGTTTTAAGTTCTTCCAAATTAACAGAAGATACATTTTCAGTAGGAGCTTCCAAATCTTCATCACCATCTGATTCCAATAAGTCAAGGACTTCGGGTTCTGGTTCTAGTTCTTTGGAGCTTAATGTAGTCATCAACTTCATTTCAAGCTCAGGAAGACCAATGTTGTTAGCCTTTAATGCCTTCAATAAGCATTCGCTATCCAATTTCAACATCTTCTCGAAAGTAATGATGATTTTAGATCTGGTATCATCGCTGGCTTCTGGTATAAAGTGGAGTAATTGCTTTGTAAGTTGTGAAACAGTGTCCTGGGAGATGACATAGTCCAATAATGCAAAAGCTTCGGGCTCGGGAAGCTTGGAAAGCGTATATACCGTTAAAAACTTCTTCACGGTGTACTTTTCATCAATTAAAGTCTTGATCAAGTTATTCTTGGTGAGAACTATGGGGGGGAGTTTCTTAAAAAAAGACGACTCACCACTACTTTCAGAAACAGTGTTCCATAATTGACCTAAGAATACTATGGTTTGCTTAGAGTTCTTAGTACTAACACTATCGTCACTTTGAAGCACCGAATCAGTAATGGACATAATCAATTGTGACGACAAAGGAACCACGGAGTTCAAGACTAAAAATAATGAATATGAAGTCAATCTGGCATCTGTAATCAATGATTGAGAGAACCTGGATCCTTCAGTAGGAGGTAAGAGGAATTTACCTGCGGCTTCCAAGAGGATAGGTAAATGCAATTCTGTGAATGAGTCCAATTGTTTCGCATAAGAGGCAATCAATTGTACTGCAATTGATAAATAGAATACCAATAGTTCCTTATAGGCAGTCAGATGTTGCCATTGTTCTGCAACATAGATAGAATACAACTTAAACAACTGGAAATCGTTGTAGAAGGCCTTGAAAATAGACGCAATAGGAGGACACTTCAAAGTATCCTTATAGCCAGAAAGCCATTCAAATAACTTGGGGAATTGGTTCTTAGGTATAATATTAAGAACTCTTACAAACACAGGATATTTATAATAAGGTAAACTGCAAAGTAACAACAACTCTGGGTTATGGATATTGATGTAGAATCTTCTCACAAGCCATTCCAATGCTTTGAGAGTGGGAGAAAGAAGGAAATAGGGCCCCACCAAGTTCAAAAATGCTTCGATATTCTTGTCCAATTGATCAATGGATTCCTGTTGTTGGACATTACGATCTAAAGTAATGGCAGATTCAGAGAACAATGTCTGTTTGAATCTTTTGAACCGAGGGTCAAGATCAATCAACTCTTCCAAGCCCTCTAGGGCATGATCAAAGATAGTTTCATAGTCTTGAGTTGCAGCCACTTTGGGGTCAAAAATCAAAGACCTGGAGTGAATACGAGATCGCGATTTACGATCAAGTGCCACCGAAGCGGTCTTGCTGCTGATAGCATTCAACTGCAGTGCCAAACTCGACATGATGCTTAACTAAAAGAAGAAATAATACCAGTCAGATTGAGATGAAGATGGAGTTTTTAGATGGTTATACATTTTTTCACATCTCATCTCGATTGTTCGGCACACGACTTCTGAGAAAGCATATATAGTTGTGGTATATAATGTGCCATTAGTTAAGTTTGTATGGAAAATACACTACAATATGTGAGCTTATGGCACTTGCTCGTGACACACTGCATTTGCCAAATGTTCTGTTCAGGTCCAAACATCGTTAGAATTTGTACATAATAACTACTACCAAGTAACCAATCAATGAGAAGCATAGTATAGTTGGATTAGTATCCACAGTAGCATCTATTAATCAATTACTTCTTCTTAGCAAACAAAGGCTCACCAATGTTCTTACCTCTTAATTTGACACCCAAAGCTCTTTCCAACTTACCCAACAATTGCTGATTTGGAATAGCTCTACCAGCTTCATAATCGTTGATGATTTGTGGTTTTTCATTAACCTTAGTGGCCAAATCCTTTTGAGTAAGCTTTTTCTCTTGTCTTGCCTTACCAATAGCCTTACCAACATTGAGATCAAGCTTCTTGTTTTGAACAACGTCATCGATATCGTCTAACTTGGCTAATCTTTGTCCCTCAGGGTTATTACTCTTATTGGTAGTACCATACTTCTTTTCTGTGGATACAACGGCACCAGATCTTCTAGCTTCATTTAATTGTCCAGTGGTACGGGCAACACTTTGACGTGGTCCACCACCACCAATTCTGGCATTCTTTCCGATAACGGTAACGGTATCCCAGTCTGACATCTTGCTTATTAGTATTAATTAATCTATTGTATAATCAGTAGTAGTAGTAGGTACTTTGTTCGCTATTGGAGTCACTTGATCTTTCTGCCACCCACATCAAAATTTTGCCGTACACTATATACAGGATTTTAATAGAAGGTTCTGGAACAGGGCCACAAGTATTACTTGAGCTGCTCTATACTCAGCCCAATCGTTGAGTGTGCGACTAACTTAGAATGAAACGACGACCAGAGAAACTTCCTGTAAAGATACTAATATGTTGAGATGAAGGTATCCATGTTTTTTTCAATGGATTTCAAAAGTTCAAAATGTAGGGGTTACCCGGACGTCTTACAGTCGGAAGATAGTGTTGGTTCCCACGATCATATGGTATCCTTCCAAAATAGCTTCATTTCTATCTTAAACATGCTATCCAGCTGGATTAATGTATTGATAAGGTGCCATAATGTGAGTTACTAGTAATATATGATGATACCTGGTAATTAGTCAAGTTAAAAATTAAAGGGGTTACCCGGACAAACGTTAAATACTTAGAAACTGCTTTAATTCAGCTCTATAATTCTACTATTGGTTGTTCATCATTTATAGAGATACAGGTCATCATCTTTAGCGTCTTCTCTTTCTTTTAGTTCACTGGAGCCATTGTGTTATTAGTGATAAATCTGCTCCATTAGGAGAATCGAATCGCGTTCAAGAAAAAGAGCACTTAGGTTTGCTACAAAGTCAACTTTATAGAGCGCTGTCTCTTCCTTCAATAATGGTTGCCATTACGATCAGTCTGCGTTCTCGCGGCTTCAAGGGGTTTGAATTAGATGTTCCATCCAATTCCCAAACACAATCTGTCTTGGAAGCGATCAGTAAGAAGTTATCGACTTCAGTCAATAGAATCCGGTTAACTCAATTAGATGCGACATCCAACAAACAGGTCCCCCTTGATACCTCTAAATCCTTGGTGGAAAATGGTGTAAATGGAGATCAATTCACTCTTTATATTAAAGATTTGGGACCTCAGATTGCTTGGAGAACTGTGTTCCAAGTCGAATACCTTGGTCCCCTTTTGGTTCATCCCTTGTTTTATTTTGGTTCGCAATACTTTTATTCTAAACCTGTTTCCCATAACCAAACACAATGGTTTGCTTATTTGTTTGTGATGTTCCATTTCATAAAGAGGGAATTGGAAACTTCTTTTGTACACAAGTTTTCAAATGCTACAATGCCAGCTTTTAACATCTTCAAGAACTCTGGCCATTATTGGATTCTTTCTGGATTCAACTTGGCCTATTTTATTTATGGTCCTGAGGTTGATTCTGATGCTGCCTATTGGCAAAGATTCTTATTTCATGTTAAGGACAATTCAACCGTTGTTAATTACGTTTTAGCGGGTTTATTTGTGTTTGCCGAATTATCTAACTTCAAAACCCATTTGACTTTGTCTAACTTGAGACCTGAAGGAAGTAAGAAATATGTGATTCCTACAGGATACGGGTTTGATTTGGTTTCTGTTCCCAATTACTTTTTTGAAAGTCTTTCATGGTTAATTTACACCTTATTGGTCGGAAACTGGTCTGCTTGGTTGTTCTTTGCTGTTGGTACTGCTCAAATGTGGGTATGGGGTGTCAAGAAACACAAGAGATACTTGAAGACATTTGGTGACGACTACAAGAAATTAAAGAGAAAGATCTTTGTTCCTTATGTTATTTGATTAACGTACACACACACATATATATATATGTTAGTCTTCTGAAAACTTCAAGCATACACTGTTGACACAATGTCTTTCATCTGTTGGGTTCTTATAACCTTCACCTCTAAATATATGACCTAAATGTCCATCGCACTTTGCACATCTCATTTCCTCCCGTACCATACCAAAACTAGTATCTTTTAAAGTTGTAATTGAACCAGGTATGGCTTCAAAGAATGCTGGCCATCCACAGTGAGAGTCGAACTTGGTCAGGGCTTTATACAATGGATTGGAGCACCCTACACAACGGTATACTCCATTCTCTTTTGCAGGTGTACGATTATATTCTCCTGTTCCAGCTGGTTCCGTACCTCCTTGGCGTAAAACCTTGAATGCGGCAGGCAGAAGCTGAAGTCTCCATTCACTGTCTGATTTGACTACTTTACTCATTTGTCTTATTGAACTTCTTAACATTACTCATCACGGATGAAGAGTAAGTTCAACAGTTATACTACTTGGAGGCTATAAACTGCGGAGTAGGGAATGACTTGAGAAGGCAAACTAATGTGAACTGATCACGTGACTACGTTTATGCAGTGATGCTTGATGAACATAATGAACGCTTTGAACGAACTTTGTTTGAACATCAGTTAATGATAGTTAATATAAGCTCCAGTAGTGATGCAGTCGATTGCAATTACATCTATGGTATTATTTTATTATGCGATTAGCATTTTGATATGGTAGGTTATGTGAGGTATCCTTTCAAGTTAACGAATAAGATCAATAATATGGCTACTGGGAGAGATTTTGTAGCCTCGTCTGTGTGCTTACAATCTAAAGTATTATATTATGTATATTTGGTATTGATGTTAGAAATATGTTTATAGCGTCACCAGCCTTAATTCTCTTGTGAGTACAGTATTTTAGAGATAGATATCAGCGAATCATTACTGAAAACAACGCTTCAGCTACGTTTGAACTGTTTGCAATTTTATGATTGTGGTTCAATTTTCAATCCATTTGAAGCAAGAAGACTATGCTTATTCTTGAATGCCATAAAGATTTAGTTGTTTCTGATATAAATGAGCTCAATAGTATGAACTACTATTTAATCTTCGTAACTTTTGAATGTATGCTTGTTGGAAGTTGGTTTGTTATCTGGCACATTCTTTGAACTTTTGGTAATAGCATTTATCTGTATTGCCAATTATTTATTTGAATATGAGTACATAGAGTTTCTAAAGTTTTCTTCTAAAGAGATTAGAAGGACGTATTAAAAATGGCTGCGAAAACTGGATGCTAGTACAACTTAATGCAATGTATCAGATAAACGACATGGAAATATTGAAATGCCAAAATTTCCTGGAAAGACATCTATTGGCTCAAGGAAGCATATAGAATGATTATACTAAAATATGATTGTATTGATAGTTACAACAGGGTTTGTATGATTTCCAACAATACTTTCAAAGTCCGCTATATGTGCTTCATGCAAAGAATATGCGAAGGAACAGGTTACTGGTATAAATAATGGAAGTAGTACGATAGAATTGGAGCTTAATTATTGAGAAAGATTATCATAGTGAAGGCATATGACAACTACAGTAAGGTTCACTTACATGAACCATTTCTTTATACAAAAAATTACGTAATTAGTATAACTCAGCATTATAGGTCGTGCTATAGTCATAAATTAGCTCACTAGACTGGCACCTACGTTAGGCCCACTAATGTAAATTGTTATTGAATATTACCATAGACTTTGGTCAATGCTAGATACTTATCTATCCTTATTATAGTACACACTTATCTCATGAAGTAGTTGTATTTACCATTTTGGTTTCTAGATTTATCATTGGTGGATGCTTGCATATCCCAAGAAATTTCAATATCAATTTCTCTGGGGTTTTTAGCGTTAGGTCTTGAAGAAATGGAACCCTTGATGAGATCACCTTTCTTCAAATCTAAAACTTGATCCATGTAAAACACAGTTTGCTTCCAATGAGTGTATTGATGCATTGGTCCAGTACATAAACGGACCTTTTCATTACCAGGGAAGTCACATTCAAACCAAACAATGTAAGCATGACAAAGATCGTTATCAATGGCTTCAACCTGGAAATTGCTGGTGAAAGCCAATTCTTCCTTAGTCACGGTATTAATATCAAATTCAAAGAATTTGCTGCCAGTGGTAATAAGGGAGTTGTTCTCAACAGTATCAACCAATGGTTCAGCCATGACAACTTCAATAAAAGGAGAATAGTCAAATCCATAAACGTCTTCCCAAAAGTGAACCTTATCATCCTTATATTGGCCATCTTCAATACCAGCAATGTGCATAGAACATTTATCAGGTAAAATTAAACCACCTTCAGCCAAGTACTTGTCACGAGCATATAAAACTGTATCCAACATAGACTCATAAAGTAAGAAATATCCCATCCATTCAGAAACAATGATGTCAACCTTATCAACTGGTAACTCAATGTCTTCCAATTTACCTTGTAACAAGGTAATTTTGTCATCAAACCCATTGAGACTAACAATTTCTCGAGCCTTCTCAATGATGTTAGACATATCAACAGAATATACGTGTTTGGCTCCTGCCTTAGCGGCAAACATGGAAAGAATACCAGTTCCACATCCAACATCCAACACAATCTTTCCCTTGAACAAATCTTTGTTCTTAAACATGGCTTGACGATAGGCCAATGTTCTGGAAGTGTCTTTCAACATCTCTTCGTGGATTCCAAAGTGATCATACGATGAAAAGTAATGCTGTTCAGAGAACGGTAACGCTGATTTTTCTGTGGCCGACATGCTAGTAATTATGATATATCTTTTAATAATAATATGGATGCTATTAGGAAAAGAACACTTCTTGATGGTTGTAGTATTTGTTTCTGTTAACTGTTATCTTAAGCTCATCTCATCACCAGTGCGTGCATACAGGGAAAATTTTCCTGGTCCAAAAGAGGTAAGAGATTAAGGGGTATTGGGTAGCGCGCGGGATAGCATCTACATAGTGTAATATTATTATATTATGGTCATTTGTTCACTTATATACATCTTATAACTATTGCTGTCTTTGAAGTTCCGTATAATTGTCAGTTTGTAAGAACGTTTAGTCTTGAAAGAAAAGTGAGTTGCAAGTATTAAGAGAATCAAGAGTCTGAACGTAGAGATAAGTGAATTTGAAGATAATAATTAAATGGAACTTCGTTTCAACGACAGCTTAAATTTATTCCTCGGATTCTTCGACTTCTGGTTTATTTTGTCTAACCTTGTCTTTGATCAAGTAACAAATACCACAAGCAATTATACTGATACCCAACATAAGAACTAAAATCATGTTTGAGTTTCTGTAAAGTCTCTTCTTGTCTGCTGGCCATCCAGAATACAAGGCATAAGTGGCAGTGACAGAACCAAGGTTACCCAACCCACTAACAACAGCAGCAGAAACAGCAGTACCCACATCACCGTATCTTGGACCAAAGATTTCTGCTGCCCAAGCCATGATAATAGGCACGGTTGGACCCAAACCATACCCAGCAATCAAAAGACCACCATACTTGTTCCATGACCCCTTGGCAAAAGTGGTGACAAACATACCACACATGATAACACAACAGGCCAAACAGAACACAAGAGGTCTGAGCTTCTTGTATCTGTCAACGATTGGAGTGATGGTTAAAATACCCCCTAAGTCAAAGAGCCAAATAGGAGCATACAACAAGGAGACTTGAATAGAAGTCAAGCTTGGATTGTTGGTAGCAATGATAGTCGAACCGAAGACAGCCAACCCAAACCCAGTACCTACAACACCAAAGTACATGATAATCATGGGCCAGATTCTAAGATCACTAACAACCATGACGACGTCCTTCCAAGTCCAAGAAAGCATTTTGTATCTATGTTCCAAATCCTTTCTATGCAATTCTCTTTCTTGCTCGCTCAAGGGAGCTGGGGAGGTGAAGTACCGGTAATAGATTTTCTTCCAGCCAGTGCGGGTGGCCAAGTCCACTGGCTTCTTGAATGGTCTATCTGGCAACCACCAAAGTAACAGAATACCTACGGCCATGGTGACACATCCGTAGATAAGGTACATCCATTGCCAACCAGTACGACCTAAAGCACCGTCCATTTTCTGGACACCAGCAGAGACCAACCCTGCCACAGCAGCAGAAATCTGAGCAGCAGTGAAATAATACCCAATTCTCCGGGTCAGTCTTTCATTAGGGTAGAACAAACTAATGTAGTAACTCATCCCCGGCCAAGTACCAGCACCAACCATACCAGATATAAATCTAACAGCATACAAACCATGAGCATTGCTTAAAGCGTGGTAACAAGTATAGACCAAACCGACAGTTATCACAATTCTTGACAACCAAGTTTGAGGACTGACTTTGGTCATAATAAGGTTCATAGGAACATCGAAAATAATATAACCGACATAGTACAATGCAGATGCAGTGGAGATGTTGTGGGGGGTAAGCTTTAAAGCTTGACCCAAGGAATGACCTTGAGTCCTATTCATGGTCAAGGTTAAACCATAAGCACTACCACCAAAAGAGGTTAAGAAGTATAAACTCCATAAGGCAGGGATGATACGTAAATCCAACTTATAGTAGATCTTGTCTAAAGCTTTTGTGTCTAACTCTAGTCTACCATCTTCACCAACCTCCGAGTACTTTGTTGCGTCAAGACTCTTTGAGTTCATGGTCTCAACCTCACTGTTTGAAATAGGCTCTTCTTTCGAGTGGTCCATGGTCAAAGATATTCAGTTGGCTATGAATTATAAAGTTATAAAAGTATACTATTTCTGGGGAGTTTGTACGTCTTAATATACTTTTTTTTCGGGGAAGATGACTCGCATGACTCAAGAAAGTTTTTTCCCTCGACAATGGATGACTTGGAGTCATTTCCCCCTGTTTTAATCCTACATTGACAGGTGCATACAGAGATGGCTGCTTGCGATTGGTTTAATGCTAGACAAACAAAGTAATACCGGAGATAAGAAGAGAAGAGAAGAGCCAACAATTGTGCGGCAATTAACATAATCACAGTACCCTCTATTGTTGGGTTAATGGTTAAGAAATGCCTTCCTAGAAACCTTCTATACAACTGAAATTCATGCTTGTTGGAATGAATGAACGGCTTTTAAAAACCGAATGTCCTTAGCATTTCCACAGTTATTTCCGCAAACTCAACACTTTGATGCACACAGAAACTATGGTCAATGCCACGTCTCACTTCGAATCTGACCTTCTTGGAGTGCATATCATGGTATCGATTTAAAATGTAGTCTCTGGTGGAGTTATGAACCCAATAATCATCTGCCGCAAAGAAACACCAAATATTGATGCCATGTTCTTTAGGTACATTCTGGAAAAACCAATCATTGAGTTCATCATTCTGTCTAATCTGTTGAAGTTCTTCTTCGGCCATTAATAATGTTTGCTCGAGTATTTGATGATTCACTATCAACAGATATGCACCTTCCACTGAATTATCAAAACTTTGTAGGGCATCTTTCAGAGTCAAAACCGGCTTCGGTAAGCTAAATCTCCGAATGATCCACTTTAGGTTATTTTCATTGAACAATAACGTCAAAAATCGGCTAAACATTAAAAAAAGCCATATCACTGGTAAGTACGCAAACATATGAGTGAATTTACGTCCCTTAGATGACTTCCATATATCAACAATAGTAGGACATATTAGCCCAACAAACTTTATTTCCATTTTGCCTTGTAATTGTTTATCATCCAAAAGTCTTTTAACTAATCGTTGCATCATCCAAGCTCCCATAGAGTGGCAAAGGAATGTTAATTCTACAACCTTTGTTTCTGGAGACTCAGTGGTCTTCTGCAAAACATATTCACTAATGTACCTGTGTTTCTGGGAGATCTGATGTTCAAGATTGAAATATTGAAAGTCTCTATCTCTCTTGCAATAGCCATCATGGCCAATACACACAATATTGTATTCGGGAAATGACTCTTGAACCAAGTTAAGATACACGGTATAAAAGTCAATCAACCCCGGATTTCCAGGTATGAATACCATTGTTTTGACTACTTCCGGATCATCTCCAACACGCAATGCCGTTTTCTTATATATGTCGCTGTACAGGTACGCCAGATACTCTTCTATACCACAGTTTACAGTCATAGTATGCCCCTTCTAGTGGCTAAGATAGTTTTACTATTAGGATAGTGGTGTCATTTAGTAGTCCGGTTGGAAAAATAATGTGGAACATTCAAGGGGTTACCCGCACACAGGACACAGGTATATCTTTACATAGTTATAGTCACAGCCATTTCATTAACATTAATTCTTTAATTCTATTCAAAGGCTCTATGTTTATATATATTCTTCAATAATGAGATTCTGATGACTGCTTGTGGACAGTGAAACTAAAATGATTGGTGGCTTGCGAAACTGTGGGATCATCTCCTTTATGTAAATCCTTCTCATAGTAATCAACATTACCTTCATAATCAATTAAAAGCACGGTTTGGGTTCTGGTGCCATAATACTTGCCAACACAATTTGCAAGCTTGAGTTTGGAACCACTAACATCAAGAGGTGGAATGAATATGGAATTCTTCAAGTAATCAAATTGTTGGTCTTGATTCGACAGTGATATTAAGCTGTGATCATAAGTATCAGTAGAAAGTATATTGAAGCATTGGTTCACAAGGTCTTCCTTGGAAAGATCTAATCCATGATCTTGTATTAAATCATGAAGCATGCGTTCTCCCTTGGCAACTTTGGGCCAAATCACATCGTAGGTCGAGTTAGATAATCCAAAGGTTGCTTTCCCACTAATGGTGCTTGATATAGATGTAGACTCCAAATCATGACTTGAAACATTCAATACTTTATCACTTGATCCTCTATTACTGGTGATGTTGAAGTTCCCAACATTTCCTGTTCTTGGATCTAATTCGAGTTCCCCGTAGAATAAAGTAAATCCTCCGATTCTTGCTAATGGTGAAGTACATCCCAAATCACTGGATAGCTTCCCCTCAAAGGTATGTAGCCATGCATCACTACTCTTTTTAGATGATAGGAATGCAATCGGTAGTATGCCTCTTGAAATTTCACTAATGAAATTGGTATCATCTTTCTCTCTGTAATTAACCAAGACTGAAATTCTACCATCATTTGTCACCCCTATCCAAGATCCATGTTCCGGTCTAGCCATATCTAATGGAGATAATATACTTCTTCCATCTTTTAATTCTCTCCAATGGGCTTGTTTTGTGGGCCGTTGAAAGAACTCATCCCGGTTAGAGAGTAATATAAAGGGATATTTGGGATGTTCAATTGATGAAATCAAAATGCACATTCTGAATTAATTTGGTTGTAGTTATGTTTGTAATAATATTGGACTTTGATAGCTCTTGTAGTAACAGGCAAAATTTCTATGTCGTTTATGTCTCTTTATAGAGGAATTGTGGATGGCAAGATACCGGTCGGTCAGCAATTACCCAATCCAACAATTTGTGGACCGCTAGTGAGCATAACTAATTTGGAAATGACGTGAGGCAAGCACTCATTACACACACACAAATGGAAAATGAAGCGCTTTATGTGTGGAGGGGTATATGCAAGATTGAGTGATTCAAGTCACCTGGTTCCCCAGAATTTACCCCAGTCATCTAAAGGTTTCCTAGGCGCAAGAAAAACCAGTTCATTTTATATGCATTCTCTTTTTGCACCATTTAAGCACAGAACGGTGTTGCCGAGGCTCAGCAGTAAACCTAAAGCGACATCAAACCACTGCCACCTGCTTTTGTAGCACGTTGTTGCAACTTGGTATCGTACCTTGTAGTATTATTTTCATTCTCATTACCCCGAGGAGTTGTAGTATCTTTTTCTTTACATAATTGACTAAGCAGTGTGATACAAGTGTACTCGTTCTCTTGCATATTATTGAGTAGTTGAGATTCAGTTTGATTAGTATCAGGTATGCTTCTCCAATAATCAGATAAATTACCGGCATCTTCATTATTATTATTAATGTTGTAAGATTCCGATAAGGGGTAAGAATAATTGCCATTTTGTGATGGAACGGCCAAGTATTCTCGGATAACACTTGAGCTGACAGAAACATCGAAACCAGGTTCTTTTTCAATTGTACTGTTTAATAACCTTTCATGATCAATATCATTGCCATCTTCATCTTCTTCCTTTCTTCGTTGATCATTAATATACTCAATCGATTCGTAATCACTGGAATTTGAATTGGGATGATCATAATTATCCCGATTAGAACCTGAAAGGTTGAATTCTCCCATTAAATTATAACTATTGTGATGTAATTCTGAACCATTTGTAGATTGGAATTCATATTCATACCCATCATCAATATCTTCAAATATTCTCAATGGTTTTAGTTTTTCCATTGGAGAATGAATTTTACTATCAACGTAACTATCAGTTGAAGAATATGGGCAGAAGTCAGAGTTGTAAAGACTTTTATTTAAAGTCTGATCCCCTAACGTATTAGCAATGGGATTAGAATGATCATTAAGTAGTTGATTTGGGTTGGTTGATGTAAAAATTCTCTCTGGTTCCACGTATTTAGTTGCCAAACATGTTCCTTTAAAATAAGACATTGCACATAAGGTTTCAACATCTGCTCTTGTAACTGGATCCCAAGTTAAACAAGCCTTCGCAACTTTGGCTAAGTCATGATGTGTTTCATAAGGTATGATATCTTGCATTTTCAATCCATCAGTATGAAGTAATTCAATCCCTAAACTTTTGGAGAGAGAATATGCTTCTTTCCAATAACCTCCTAGAGGAGCCCGAACATGGTTACTCAAGTTTGAATCAGATGGTGGAATTGGATTTCCTAAAACACTTAAAATTCTTCCTATTTGGTCCAATTCATTCTTTCCAGGAAATAATGGAGCTACATTAGTCAATTCGATGGCGATTGTACCAAAAGCCCAAATATCACAAGGTTTTGAATACCATTTCTTTCTTAGTAAAATCTCCGGAGACCTATACCATCTTGTAGCCACATACTCTGTATACGGTCTTTGATCATCGATATGACGAGCTAAACCATAGTCGGCTAATTTGATAATATAGCTGTCTTTGTCACGATAAGGAGGAATATTTGCTTTATCACCATAGTATTGGAAAGTAGGAATTACCAAGATATTTTCAGGTTTGACATCTCTGTGAAAATAGTCATGCCGATGGATATGTCTTATGGCACTTAATAATTGAGTTAGAATACTTTTTAAAGTGTCACTTGAAAACAGTGTATGTTTCCTGTGAGACATCAATTGATAAAGGTTTTGATTCATAGTTTCCATAACAATATGCAATTGCCCCGTGGTACTATCGATGAAGATATCAAAGATTTGCACTAACGCTGAATGTGAGGGAATAGCATTAATACATATGACTTCTTTAACTCGATTATAATTTGTCATTTGTTTCTTCATAATTTTAATTGCAACCAAAGTATGAACTCGATACATAGAATCCTTTAGCGGTTCCATTAGAGTTCCCCTTTTATATGTTTCAGGATATAAGATTGACGTATTTGACTTCAAAACAACCGCCAAAACAACTTGACCAAAAGATCCTTTACCGATGCTATTTAAAATCTTGTAGTAGTCTTCCCGCTTCCGCCAAGTGATCTCGCCTAATCGACGATGACGACGATTGGATGATAAGGGTGAAACATTGTTATCATTGTTAATGTTATTCATCAGCTCAATAGACATCTTTGTTTCCCAAGAACTATGATTAGAGCTCTTAGTTGACTCCATCGGAAAGTGACCTGTCACAATTGTTGCAAAAAAGCACTTGCACCTACTTAAACTAAGGATAAGAATTAGTTGCACAATACATACAGTTATATGAATATACATACGTATATGTATATATCCGTCCTAACTAACTAAATAGAGTAATACTGTATTTGCTTTGATGTTATGAAGGGTGTGATACCTATGGAGGTGTCTGACTAGTAGGCGTCACGAAAGGAAAAAGTGATACCAAAGATTTCGCAGACGACCTTGATCCTATTTATACCGTTAAGCATAAGAAAGATCAATTCATTTGATATGATACGTCTATATCCGTATGCCACGTTTTATAAAGTACTTTATATGTTATCCACTATTACTGTAGGCTATGCATAGGATCTTTCACAGTAGTGCATTACACATGGTATCATTTACTATGTCTTAAGTCCCACGTAATCAATGTTCTCCTCAAGATCATCACTATGCAACTGAATAGTAAACTGTTTCCCGTACAGCTCACTTTTACTGCTGGCTTCATCCACATACACGTCGTACTGGTTGTTGTCTTTTCCGTTGGCACTCATTAGGAGAGCATCTCGACTAAGGGTGAAACTATTGATAACAATGGGATCATCGGGGGTTATCTCTACAGAATCATCCTCATCCTTAAAATTAGACTCACTATCGTCTTCATCATCGTTAGGGTCCCTATCTCTGGTTGCCATAAGTCGTTGGTGTCTTCGAGTCACCGCATGTTCCAATGAACAGTGCGACTCTCTAGGACATGACCCTGTCTCTTCAAAATCAGGACACCGGGGCAAATGGACTAATGGACATTTCATTCCTCGGGGACAAGATCCTCCTACAGCAAATGGTCGACATATCCATACCTCGTAGTCAGGATCTCCATAGTGTGGCGGCCGACGGTGGAGGAATCGACAGTCACGGTTTTTGCACCCATTCCCCAAGTAGAAGGTGCATAACGGAGTGTTGTATTGGTTGAACCTATGACTCAATAGACAATTGATATTATTACAATGGCCTTGTAAGGACCCAGTACAAGCCTTTATTCTATGTTGATCGTGTCTAAAGCGACATTGGTTAGCTCTTCCACATATTCCTAATGATACATTGTTAGTATTTAGTGCACCGCAGAATGCTTTAGGCTTGCCTCAGAGATTATAATACTCACCTGCTCTCATGTAGTAACGACATTGTTCTAATCTGTTGATATGCTCTGTTAGTAATAAAGCTTAGAGGGGTAGTGGGCTTCTTTTTCTAATACATACTTTGACTTCTTATTTCGCTGTCGAAGAATACCTGAACTACGTCCAACATAAATTGCACCATCCCATTCGATCTCATCTCTGTTCGGCAAGGGGGAACCCTTGGGGAAATCCAATGGGATAAGTTTAGCTCCGCCTTCTATCACCGCATAGGTTATACCGTTCAAAATGATTCTATCGTTGGCATCATATTGTATTCTATTGAACTCCCTATCACTGGTTATGGTAGCCACTAATTTATACTCCTTCATTTTCTTTGCCAACTTTGTCTTGTTGATCTTCAGTACAACTGATGGAACGTAACGGTTATGGTTCGGGTTCAAACCGAATGGAATTGCAGAAGGAGCTCCCCCAAGATCACCCAAATCTTTGGTAACACTCCCATGGTTATTAATAGCCTCATTTGACTTTATGTTGGGAGCAATTGAATAATTATTATTGTCGTCTCTCACACGTTGCTTAAGTATTGCTGTTTTCTGTTTCAAGAATTTCTTCTTTTCCTTTGCTAACTTTAACTGTTCATCTCTTAATGCTACACGAAACGCCAACAAATGTTTGAACTGTTGATCTGTATACGTTTCTTCATGTGAACCATGTTCCATAGTAAAATTGTCTCTAGCAAGAGATGAAGGAATTCAATTGATTGTGCACAAAGGTCAAACCTTATACTATATTATTGTTTTAGCACGACCGCAACAAGACTATAGGAACCGTATATGAGATCACAATGTAAGACCAGTAAACTAACTTGTAATAGCATATGGTTACTACTCGTAACGTATGATAACAATGAAACATAACAGGTGGAACTAGACAGGTGATAGCACCACATATGATACGATTCAATGGTGTATGCGGTGTCAGTGGCAATGAGAGAGTATAGTAGTATATTCATCCCAATTGTATCCTCTAGCAGTTATAACTGTAAACAGCTACACAAATATGTCAAGGTCATTGTCATTAAGAATGCCACTGATATAATTACGTATATTGCTAATAGTCATTATCACCACTGTTATCACCACTACTGATTATGTCCATTAGTGTGTGCACTTGACGAAAAATAACTACTATTAAATTGGTAGACAGTAACTTTCTTCTTCCATTACGACTCAATGACTTCATATGAAAAGCTCTTTAGTTATGCTACCAATGCCATTGGCCATTTCTTACCTGTTGATAAGGCCACATGTACTGAAATGGTTAAATATGCATTGACTTTAGGCTCAGATCACGAGATCCAAATGCACTTTCTCAATTTGTTAGGTGAAGATCAAGTCCTCCCGTTTGTCACCAAGTTTATCCAATTGAAACATGAAGCTGAAGCTGAAAATGTAAAGAAACAAACAAAGAACAAGCCAAGTGTTACTCTTAATTCTCCATCAACTTCAACATCGTCAACTACTAATAGGAAGTCTACTGCAGCGTGGCAAAAGCCTCGGCCGCAGTCACTGTCCAATGGGTCTAGATTGATAAGGAGTACACTGGCTGTGGCCACTTCGGAACTTTTGGATTTGAAACTGAACCTGAACCTGAACCTGAATCTGAATCTGACTTCTCCAGCCCCCACTAAATCTAAACGATCCAAAATGAGAAGCGTCGCCAACTTAAAAGACATAGAGGCTGCATTGAACGAATTGGAAGTGTCTGCTGATCCCTCGACCCAGTCACAGGTCAGAAGAACTTGTAATTGTATGGGAACTCGCCATCCTTTGTTTGACGTAGCCCCCAATTGCTTGAACTGTGGTAAGATCATTTGTGTAAAGGAAGGCATTCAACCGTGCTCGTATTGTGGGAAAGAGCTTCTTTCATTCAAAGACAAATTTGAAATAATAGACATTCTAAGACACGAAAGAGATACCATAAAGGGTATTGAAAAGCCTCCCAGTCGACTGGCTACTCCTGAGCTAAATTCAAAACCAAAGCATAGTAATAAGATCGTCATCTCAATGGAACCAGGTAAAAATAATTTATGGGATGCTCAAGATAAAGCTTTGAAGAAAGCAGATCAAGCTAGGAAACGGGAGAATGCTCTTGTTGAACAACAAGAAAAGGAACAACAGCAGCTTCTTCAACAACAAGAAGAAATGAAATACTTTGAGAAACATCAAGCCATTAATCCTGAACTTCAGATGGCACAAGAAAGATTGGAAACACTATTAAACTTCCAAGATACTGGTGCTGAACGGACCAAGATAATTGATAATGCGGCAGATTATGATTTGCCAGGTTCAGCAAGCAGTAGCATGTGGCTATCACCAATTGAAAGGGCATTGCAATTAAAGAAACAGCAGAAACAATTGCGTAAGTATGAAAACTCTGAAAAGGAAAGAACTGGACGGGGTAAAAGGGTTATGGATATGGTTATTCGCGATGGAAAGGCCATATGGGTTGAAAGAGAAGGAGGTGGTGGAACTCATAGTGATGATGAAAGGGAATCAAAGGAAGATGAACAGATAACTGTTTTGGAGGATTCTGTTAAACATTCTAAGAACTTAAAGGAGAATGAAATGATTCTGCTGACTTGGAATTATGAAAAAGAACTGAAAAAATGGGAAAAACCACAGTATGTTGGTTCAAAGGATAATTATTCTGTTGATACAAATGCTGTTCGAGTTTCATCTAAAGTACGGACTCGAGATGATATTTTTGATACCAATGAATTAGTGGTCATGATATAATCTTTAATATTATCTATTCATCCTTCTTTTGAATGCTCTTGTTCTTGGGTCGTTAATCTTCAATCTCTTGTAATTTTGACTAACATATTTCTGTTTCTTATCTGATGAAACATTTATGCTTAACTCCTTCTCTAAATCTAGTTCTTCTTCCTTTTCCTTTTCCTCTTCCTCCTCGATATTCATCACAGATTGAATATTTGCAATCTCTTCCTGTTCAAGTAATTGCATGCGTTGTTGAAGATTAGAGCTCCCAATAATATCTTCTTGCTCTTCCATTGTTATTGGTTTGATCTTCCATCTTCTAGTAGATCTCTTTTGGGTCTTATGTTTCTTTAGTCTGAAAGGAGTGTTTCCTTCTTGATCCTCTTCAGCTTCTTCGTCCACATCTTCTTCCTCTGGAGCATCTTGAACTTCTTCAAGAGCTTCAAGCTCAGATACAACGCTGCTCTTGGAGTCGTTGAAAATATCACTGAGTTTCTTCGTAAGTGACCTGTGAGCCTTGAATGGAGATGGAGACACTGAAAAGTCAATAACAGGTGTAGTCTTAGTGGGGGTCACATCGAATACCAATGGAGCTCGGGGTCTTATAGGTGAAATGGTATTACTTTGAGACACTTTAGCCTTCATAGGTGATAAGTTAACATGGTGTGACCTTTTAAGATATTTGGGAGTATCAATTGCATTCTTAGAAGGTGAAGAAGAAAAAAACAGGTTTAGTCTCTTAGTGGGAGTGTATTGAGGATCATCAATACCTGTGGCTTCTTTACGTTTCTTTGAAGGTGTTGCTGCTGCTATAAGATCATCATCCATGAGCGGTGATGATTCTGGAGGAGTTGGTTTGAAGTCAAATATAGATAGTATTCTTCCACTAGCTTGAGGCGTCGGACCTATTTCTACTTTAGTAGTGGCAGAACTGAGCTTCAGTTTATGAGGGGACTGGTATCCAATCCCACCACCACCTTCAAAGTCTTCTTCATCGTCAGACATGAGGAAGCTCCAATCTACTTGTTCCTTCGAAACATTCAGCCGCCTCTTATGGCTCTTGCTGTGGTTGTGATTGTTGTTCTCCTTGCCATATCGTATTTGTTTGTATTCTCGATATAATTGGTGGATCTTGGGATCATCTACTATATCTCTTTTCAGGGGAGTGAGTCCCTTCTCCCGTTGGAACAGCTTTTCCCATTCTTTAATCTGTCGCTTAACAGCCACCAATCGTTCAGTCATTTCACAATGGAGAAGAAGAAGAAAGTAGGAGATAACTTTTGATACTCCAGTATATAAAATACGCGGTACTTCTTAATATACGCGGTACGTAATATACGCGCACATATATATTCGATCTTTTTATGTAATCAGTTACGTAATTTCCTAATACATAAAACCTTTTATAAACTATATACATGTAATTAAATGGAGTCAATTAAAGATTCCACGGCTCTATAATTGGTGATATTATTGGAATCTTCATTTACTACCAGTAACATATGATTTAAAGCGAGTTTAACACATTGTTTCTCTTCTACTGAAGCAAATTCACCTTTAACAAGACGGAAATCAGACATGAATGACAGTGAAACAATATTAGCATCCCATAAAGTATTGAAAAAATATGTTATAGCTTTAGAATCATTTCTAAGAGCTAAGAACGTGATTAATCTTGCCCATTTAGATATTGGATACTGAATAGTACCCCCTTGTTGTGTTCCTAACAAGTTCAAATGAACCTCCCATTGGTTCCAAAACTTATCCCATTTACTTGCATTCCCGTATGTAAACATCACGAGCTCGTTAAACGTTCTGGTGGCTACCTTGTTGCTTCTCTTATTGGTGTACTCAATCAATTGTAGTATATCCGCAGCTCTATTGGACGCAAGCAATATGGAAGGCTCACTAGAACTCTGTACCTTAAATGACGACTCAGGGTCAGTGAGGGCTTCATCTACCATTCTTGGAGTCACAGTCACAAATCTCGAATCATCACTATCTCTTCCAATCCAAGTGAGTCTCCATAATAAGGGAATAAGTTTATTCAGTCCTGTCAAGTCAAGCTCTCTATTATTAAACATATAGAGCTTCTCTGTGAATTGGGAAAGCTTATCAAAAGAAGCATCTATTCTTTGTTTCCAGCTTAATTCGTCTGAATCACAGCCAGGTTCTGGTTGTGCTTGCCTCAGGTCTAATAAATGCTCAATGTACAACACCATATCATGGGGTCTCTGGGATTCTAGTTGGGTACCGGAATTCAAGGCTAGAATCAAGTTACCATATTTCTCTAATATGGCATTTTCCACTTTCTGGCTCAGAATTACTTGGGGGTTTATTCTGTGAATCTCGCTATAGATTTGGGATCTAGTCACATGATGCTTTAAATTGTTGGGATCAAAGTTACCGTCAACCTCTAATAAAAATGGGTCTATTGGTTCTCCAGTACTTGCTAAGGCTTGTACCTTGTCTAGAAGTGATTCTAACAGACTGGTGGTAGGAGTACTGTATCCACGACGGGTATGGTAGTGTCTCTTTATACCTATGAAAATGTCGTCAGAATCTTCAAAACTAAGTCCTCTGTTAAGGTATTTGTCCTTCTCTGACTCTTGACACCACAAACTCTCTAAACATAGCTGATCTCTTCTGTCTTTAGTGAGAATATGAATAAATACATTGTCAACATGTGTGTTGCACATGACCCAACTGTTCGCCTTTAACCCAAAATCACTGTCGGCCTTCAGAGGACCTTTCCCTGCTCTTTTCAATAGTCTCCTACGTTCAACAGGGCTTATGGCATTAGATACCATCCCCTCTATCCGAGGAAGATGCGCGTGTGAACTCTTTAACAACAGTCTCAACTCGTAAGCTGCCTTATAGACATGTTTCTCGGACTTCCCAGTGCAGATAATGTTATAGTCTGCTAGGTGTTCTTCATCTGTTTCTGCTACTCTTTGACTCATATCAAACACTTCGATGTCACTCATCCCATACTTGGTACCAAGAGCTTCAACAAACTCTTTAACCAGCGAGGGACATCCTTGAGGAAGCTCGGGAAGCTGTACTGGTGCACTGTCGATTAATGGGGACAGAGTATCATCTCTTAAGTACCAAGGCACAGAGTCTGCGGAAGACGAATCTTGTGGTTCATCTGGTAATTTTGTAGACTCGTACCTTCGGATTTGCAAACGAAGATTGTTTTGAAGACCGTGAACTGCACAGACACAAGAGCGTATGTTTCTGGTTTTGAAAAGCGTCCTAGAGATCATGTTCAGTGTGGTAGGGACAAGAGAAGAGGTTGTATGAATTAGTGACTTAAGACTGAAAAATTTCACGCACACAAATGCTCGCACTATAGTATATACTTTACGTTATTCCTAGTCCTACGACAGGAACAACAGAAGTATGGTTATATTGTACGGAGTCATGTAATATATGCTTTTTTCTGAATCCATTGAACTTGTTTTGGAGTCTCTACGATATTATTCACTGAATTACATGTAGTTATGGTGTTTAAGATGAACATCCCTGTACACCGTATTAAGATGCTTAGCATAACCACCAAAAATACGGAGCACACCTTAATTCAGATGGTGTATCATCTTCCAATCGTACTAGTTGACTAAGTCGGTACTAGATACCACGATAAACAGTGGAAACACCATCAATCATGATATAGCTGCTAATTCATAACCTACAGGTTACCCGCACATTCGCACTCCCCATAGTGAAGTCAAGTCAAGTTACAGTCCCAGCTCATCTCATCTCATCTCAACCAAGTCAAGTCAAGACAAGACAAGAGACTCAATACATACATTTCTCATGGCCAAGTTAGTACATAACGTCCAGAAGAAGAACCATCGTGAACGTTCGCAGACCACCGGGCGTGCTCGCTTTGGTCTCTTGGAAAAGAAGAAAGATTATCGTCTTCGAGCAGCAGATTACCACAAGAAACAAGCCGCATTAAAAGTATTAAGAACCAAAGCTGCAGCCCACAACCCAGACGAATACTATCATGCTATTACCAAAAGACGTACTGATGATAAGGGGGCACTTATAGCTGACCGAGGCAACGAGGTGTTATCAGTGCAGCAAGTGAAGTTGTTAAAGACGCAAGATGCCAACTATGTGCGAACCATGAGATTAGGAGAGATGCTGAAGATCCGAAAAGAACGGGAGACTTTAGAGTTTGATTCTAAGGGGAAGCATACGGTGTTTGTTGATTCCATAGAAGAGCAGCAACAGTTTCAACCCGAAGTTTACTTTGGCACAGATAAATCCATGGTTGGTAGAAGAGAGAACAGATTAAGAATAGACCAATTGGAGTCCAACACAAAGTTAGTGGCAGATGAGGTTATAGACCCTTTATATAAAGATAGACAGGATATCAAGAAGTTGAAGGCATATAAGTTGATGCAACGTCGACTTGAACGAGAGGAGCAATTGCGTACGGTTGAAGCAAAGATGGAGGTGACCAAAGAACTCATGAAGAAAGGTAACAAGAAGAAGACGGTAGACAAGGAAGGAAAGGTCCAATTCAAATGGAAGAACCAAAGAAAGAGATAGGCAGCATTATATTTATATATATATATATATATTAATGATCTTTACTAAGACTAGTATTAACGTATTCAACAAACATGGGAGTAATTCTATCAACATCTATAGTTCTCATTCGATTAAGAGTGATGTATGTTCTTCTTAACCGCTGAAGTTGTGCCAAACTAACGGCTGTAGATGGCATCTCCACATACAAGTTGTTTTCTTTATCTATGAGAACATCACCACCAATAGAGAATAGCTGTTGATGCTGACATATTTTCGACACCACAGCAGAAGTCTGTGAGTCAAGTTCTTGAAGAAAGTTGTTGCCTGAAGTTGGCTTCACAACAGTGGCAGCATTAGGAGGAGGAGCTCTTTTAAGGACCAAGGCTTCCCATATATCATCAATATTTAATTCATCATCGCCTTCATCAGTCATCACTGAGAATAACGGTGAATCCCATCTTGTAGAGTTATTAGGTTCTTCGTATCTCATCACCAACTGAGAGATCAACTCTGGATCCCATTTGGTATTACTGCCGTTATTATTATTATTTCTTTCAATACATTTCTGTTCCAGACTCATCACTTGCACCACACAATGAGGTGTGCCGACGCCTTTGGCTTCACAATAAAGTTGATATCTAAATCCTTTGATGTATGCTAGGGAGTCCAAGACCACGATTCTGCCTCTGCCTATGTCTCTTTTCACCGCCAGCATCTGTGTGCCTCGAGCATGCTTCTCCAAAGTCAGATCGTAGTATGTCTTGTGGTCAATGCCTAATGTCTCATCGCTATGGTACACTACACTGTAGTTATGTCCTGGACCATTGATGGGCTTTGCTTCTTGTATCTTGGTCTCGAGTTGTTCCACTAGCCGCTTGGCATGCGTGGTCTTTCCACTGCATGGGAACCCTGTAAAGATCACAAGAGGCATATTGAAGGAGGTCGTAGTAGTAAAAGTAGTGGTGGTAGTAGTAACAGTGGTTGGTTTGAGATGAGCGAAAAAGTAGTTGTGTTGATAGTTTCTTTCTGTTTTTAGTTATACTCTGTTTACTTGAACACCTGTGTATTTAGATAGAGAGGCTACTGCTAGGTTACTGTTACTCCTGGTGTTACTGTTAGTATTACTGTGGTGTGATACTGTTCTGAATTATACTGTGTTGGTTGACCTTGTTAAAATTTACATTAACAATACTGAATTATACTCACGTACTGAGAAATCCATACATAACATATTTGCTGTTAGACTAATCTGTTATCTGTTATATTATCCTATTATATGGTTATAATCCATGTCGTTCATTCCAAGAAGAATCTTCCCGGACTTTAACATCCCCCTCTCTAACTTCAAGGGCCATCACCAGAAAGCTCTCACCAAATTTGGTCATCTCGCTCCACAAATAGACATGGTCCTCGAAGTTAGAGACTCCAGAGCCCCCATAGCAACTACAAACGTTCTCTTCGATCGAGTTCTTGCCAACAAACCAAAGCTTATTCTCTACAGTAAGAAAGACTTGTCGATACTCAAGAAAGAAATGCTCGATAGATGGCATAAGGCTACCAATGAACAGTATTTGTTCGTAGATTGTAGGAACAAACGTGATGCCAATCAAATCATCGACATGTTGAGGATAAAATACGAAGCTATGCATCCCAAACCTCCCTTGGGTTTAAGACTCATGATCATTGGTATGCCTAACGTGGGGAAATCATCGCTCGTAAATACATTGCGGACTGTGGGCTACACAAGCAAGTTACCGGATATGGTATCAAGTAAAAAGGTAAAGAAGGTGGCCAGAACAGGTGGTCAACCCGGTGTCACTCGAGCCACTAGTGAAATCATTCGTTTGAGTGAAGATCCAGATATCTTGGTCTATGATACTCCAGGTGTATTCTTACCAACTGTTAAAGATACTCAAACCATGTTGGCCTTGGGGTTAGTAGGGTGTGTTCATACCAGTTTTATTGATCCGGTGATTCAAGCAGATTACTTACTCTTCCTATTGAACTTACAAGACCCTTCTGGAGCCAAGTATAGCCAATATCTTGACCATCCAACCAATAATATCAATGAACTCTTATACCATATAGCCAAGTCACGTGGCACCTTGAAACCAAATGGGACCTATGATGAAATCGGAATAGCCAACCATTGGATCCTGCTTTGGAAGCAGGCTAAAGGTCCACAGTACAAGGGACTCTTTGAGATTCAAACAATTGTGGAGACAAACGGTAAGGAGCTTCAGCAGTTGTTTCTTCAGGAACGAGAAAGACTAAAGGCTTCAACCATTGGCGAGAAAATCACCGATAAGTTGGGCGAAGATGGCACTGGAAGATCCAAGCATAGAAAGAGATCTGCTAAAGATAGAGAAATGGATAATAAGAATGTCTTATTCAAATTGTGAGTTATCACCGTAATAAGTCTTCCAAGTCCAAGATCTCTTCAAAGTTTCCTTCATCAAGTTTCACCATATTGTTATAGGTCGCATTGATGTTATCACCACGACGTCTTTTGCTTCCGTCGGAAGTCACTTTCTTGACGTACTCAACGTTAAGCTCCTCTATAAGCTTAGCAGAGAGCTGATCCAGAGATCTGTTGTTATTGACCCCATTGATGGTATTTATAGTATATAAGTTGGTTCCCTTGTCATTCAGTAGGTACTTTGAAATGAACTCTTTATCATTCACAAGTTCATGGTAATCCTTTCCAAATGACTTTCCAATGATTCTCTTGAGACATGCCGTATACTTTGCTAAGGCAGGAGACGATTGAAGGAACGTTCTCTGATTGACTCTGTCATCATCATCCTTCGGGAACGGGAAAAACTCGGTATCCTTCATGGTCAATTTAGAATTGCCTACATTGTTTATGGATTCCACCTTGTTGTGCTTGGTATCCAAATCTTTGCTAGTAATAAATCTCTTCATCAAGTCAAGCTCTTCCTCATTGGGTAAAAATTTCGCCATAGGATTGTCTTCACCATCAGCTGTACCCAGTGTTTTATATGCCCTGGTTAGACTGGGGAAACGGCCCATTTTTGCGTCCTCCCGAAACGGAAGACGTACTTGGATGAAGCCGTATACTACACTAGTAGGGCCTGTTTGAAGTTTAACGGGGAACAAGACTGTCAATTGCTTTTCATCGTCACTTTTAGGCACGAACTGAGCCACGGCAACCTTTTCCTCTTGCATTAGAGCTTCCACCAAAGAGCAAAACACTTTGGAGGGTCGTGAAGGTATCACGTAGTTGGAGGCCTCCGTCAACATCCCATAGGGAACTTTAGATTGGTGAATGAACGCGCAGATGGATATCCCAGGGTCTGTTGAATAAGTAGCTGATTCCAATAAAGGTTTAGTGATAGCAATGAAATCATAAGTTGAGTATTTGAATCCTTCTTCCCAATCTCCCTTTGCTACTGGGATGGTGGTGTATGGTCTTTCAAAGGCGTCATCTTCTTCTTCATCAACTAGCTTCGGTGGAGCTTGTTGTTCATCTTCCTCGTAGTCGTTAGCTTCTGTGGCGTTTGTGACTTCCTTTTCATGATACTTTCGTATATGGTACGACGTTTGGTACTTAACCTTCTCCGTTAAGCCTGTGTCCTTGTCAACATAATACAGTGTTAAGCTGGGCATGCTTTCAATCTTTGCGGCTGGATATACACATACATCAAATGATAAGGTGAATTGATCGTCATTCTGAGGATCAGCACTATCAAGATTTGGATCTGGTCCAAACTTCATGGGACCTTGGTACATGGCAATTGGCTTAACCTTTCTCAGCAATGGTGCATGTTGTAGACGACTATTAGCCAGCGCGGCATCAACAAGTTGTCCGCCTAATTTAGAGGCATACTCAAGCCATTCGGCAGATCTGGAAGCGGACTCAGCCGCTTCAACCATATTTATTACGAGGGAAATATCGAGTTTCTTGATGGCATTGGATGATGCTTCAACTAGCGGCAGTTCAACATCCACTGCCGCATCGGAACTGGTTATTACCACCAAATTACGATTATATTTCAACTTTTCAGTGGCTTTGAATAAGCCAATGGCCACAACCACTGCTTCCCCTATTGAGCCTTCAGTTTCAACTCTCTCATTGGAGTTTACAACCAACTTACTATGAATAGCCTCATATTCAGAGTAGGTGAACGCAGCATTGGCTCCTATAACCTCAATGTTCCTTAACGAGCTTTCAGTCGCATGGTCATTGTCTGTTTTAGTTGAATGACAAAGCACAAAGGCTATCCTGTCGCTAGCTCTGAACTTGATCATTCGACCATTCAAGTTATCATACACTGCCTTTAGCCCCGTCTCCAACACCGTTAGACGGCCGCCGCCGTCCTTCGATTCTCGGCCCATGTACGGAGATAAGTCCACAACATATACCGTGAAGTCTTTGGACATTTTGATTTAGAGGTCAATTGACAATTCATGGAACCCTTTCAATGCATTTCGTATTTACTCGGTAACGCTTATGTTTGTATGCAGGTTGCTGCTAGTAGTATTAAAGATCAAGTATCTTACTGTGTAATAATTATAATAATCATAATGTTAATAATAATAATCATGTTAATAATGATGATGATGCATATCAAAGTAATAGATCCAATTCTGGTCTTCGTATAAGCATTGGTGTGTTGTTGTTAGATGTTTGGTAAAAAGTATAATCGACCTCGGAAAATTAAGTAGCCCTTATGTATAGTAAACTTCTTTTGCATAAGGGGGAGTTCATATGCATAAACAATCATTCTGTTGCATAAATAAAATATTCTTCTGTAGCAAAGATTTGAAGAGGATAACCAGAACAGTTAGATAAAATGGAACGCTAATATTCACTAAAAGCCTTCCAAAGTCGCGTAGACTGTTTTCAAATTTGGTAAACACTTGTTTAACCACTAATTTGTTAACTTTAACCATGAATAAAAGTATTTTCAACCGGAAAAATAAACAACCTTGTCATTAAATCATTTCAACTCCGTTTAGTTTACGTTAACTTCACCATCATGCCAATGGCTAATTTCCTTTCATATACCGAGGGCCTTGTTATTTCAAACACAAATTTTAAATCAATGGCTTCGTCTAAAGGGAACTCATATAATGAGATTCCCCAACACAACCATAATCAACTGAATAATTCACTTCAACAATTTAATTCTAATCAGGATGTCAATAATAATAATGAAATGAAAGTGCCATATTTATCAACTACCAGCCCACATAAACTTCAGACTAGCCCGGATTATTTAGCCACCAGTCAATGGAATCATAAGGTAAACTTAGCAAGAAACATTGATGATAGGATTCAAGACCTTACTTATAAAAATGACAACCAACGCTCATGGTCTCTGATCACCACTTTCAGACCAACAGAAACAAAGCTCAATGAGAATCCTCGGGTAATTGAACGAGGCATTGAATCAAGAACAAGTAAAACCCGTAATAATATTCTCCAGGCGGCCAATGAACTCTCAAGTGAAAACATGCTTTGGTATTTGCTTAATGAATTGGGCTTACCAAAGCACAAAATTGCCATTGACTTGGACGAAAGTGAATGCAGAGCCTTCAACACCTACCTGGCACTCATTACTCAAATGTTTGACGTCTATTTCCCGTTCCCCGTGTTTCAAGTCTGTGCTGAAGCGGCCCTTTATGATACTTCCAAGGTGCTATTGCGTTCAGTCGTGGCCCTTGGGATGCTTTATACAAACAGTGAAGGAGCTAAGGTGCAAAAAAATCGTAGCAACCCGTTGGTCCCACAGTTAGACTCGCATATAATGTTGACCTCGGTAATTAATGGCATTTACGGCCTTTTAAGTGGCACATCCACCGTTGCTCAGTGTTCACAAGATGCTGTGGCCATTCTTGTGAAGAACAGATCGTCATCATACTTCAAAGAAACATGTTTCTGGGGGATTTTTGTGGTTGAGCTGTTGAATATACTTCAGAGCCCATCAGCTCGTTTAGTCACTCACTCAATAGATGCCGACTTCCTTCAGGAGTACCGAGACCTGCAATTTTATTTTCACCAACTAGACGGCAACCCTCTCCGATGGCTTCGAAAGGCGGTATTCAATTTCCGATTGATCTATGGAAGCTATCTGCATGCTCATAGCATATGTGCAATGGAATTGACCGTTCAGGAACTAACTGATTGCTTAAGGAAGTACGAGGAGAGCATTCCACTATTTATGCGACCAGTTACATATAGCAGCCAACTACACCAGATATATTTCCGAGAGGAGACAGCAGCGTTGGCCATGATCTTCACTCAGATATCTTGGGTGATTGTTGAACTTATGAGAGCATCTGAAAAAGATCCACTATACGGCTACTCTTGCAGCAGGGCTATAGAGAGCATTATGGATGTGTTGACAGTGTATGCAACCAACAATATTGTTAGTGTTGTAGGGATACATGTACTTGAGTACTTGGGCCAAAACTTGCCCTGTACTAATGTTGAGCTAGAACATAAGATAAGAGTACTTCAACAGACACTCAAACATAATGGTATAAACATGCATTAGTATGTATACGTGGTTTCGAAGGAATAATATGCATCGAAGGAATATGCATTATGCAGCGAATCATTTAACTATATCATGTCGATATTAAAATACATCACCACATGATATCAGCCGTACACTTTTGTTAATTTCGTTTTGACATAAAGTAAACAAAATATATTACCAATCTCGTGATCGTCAAATTGAGAAACCCTGTTTGAAGGAAAGAAACGAGGTTATATTTTTCACTTGTGAATGGAGCAGCTCGCTATAAACAAAGGCAAGTACGGCATAATAGCAGTACAACATTGAAGATTATGTATACTATGATATAGTACTATGCTAAGACATGTACGTATGTTATACAATGTACTACACCATGATCTACTTTTACTCACTCACTTCAACACAGTCATAAGTGCTACGGTATCACACTGCAGTAACACGCTACATTAATGCAGTATCACACTTCAGTAACATACTACAGTAATACCGTGATACAGTAATACAGTAATACAGTAATACAGTAATACACCACACCTAAACTATGCATATATTATTTGCAACCAAATGCACAAATGTCTATGTTTGGTACATCCTTCTACCAGTAGGCTAAACCTGCCTTTACAAACCCACACAGGAACAAAATTCGCTAAACACTGCACTTATCACCAACTTTGGCAAAGACACACATACACTACGCTTACTTAAGACATTTAATGTATTTGATTACATACATAGAATAGATACTTAACTTACTTAGTATATAATGTTTTGCTTAAGTATGTAAAATTAGTAGATGCTCGTAAATTTGCCCGTACTTACTTATACATGCACTTTCATATGCAACGCATGTATGTAAGTACATGCATGTACATAAACGTTTCCTTCAATTCTTGATCTTATCTTTGAGTTGCAACACCAACGCACATCTGCTTGGAATATAAACAAACAAAGAGTTGGCTCTGTTATTCCATGGATCATCATTAGTGAAATATTCAATTGGTTTACCATTAGAATCAGCTTCTTGGATTCTGTTATGTCCACCAAACTCTTCTCTGTCAGAATTTAACACAATTTGATAACATCCAGGGGTCTCAACTCCTACTTTATAGTCAGGGAATGAATCATTAGGGTGAAGGTTGAAAATAAACAAGAGACCATTCCGTTCAAACACAACAACCTTATCAATTTCATGCTTCAAGGAAATATATGCTTGTGGAGTGTCTAAAACATTATATTTGGAATCCAAATGTTGCATGGCAGAATCAAATGCAAATAAAAATTTGTATCTTAATAAATCATCTTCAATTAAGTTGAATTGTCTTCTGGCGTAATGGTAAGATTCTCCGTTTCCTTCTCTGGGGAAGTCTAACCATTCAGGGTGACCGAATTCGTTACCTTCGAAATTCAAATACCCTTCACCTCCTAAGGAGAACGTAAGAAGTCTAATCAATTTATGTAATTGAATCCCTCTATCAATAATAGGAGTGTTTTCAGATAAAATAGACATGTTGGTATACATTTCTTTATCCATTAACCAAAAGGCAACTGTCTTATCACCAACAAGAGCCTGGTCATGAGATTCCACATAAGAAATACACTTTTCACCGTGTCTTCTGTTGGTTAAGGTGAAAACAATGTTACCAAGATCCCATGCTTCATCCTGTAAATGTTTTAAGATCTTAATCCACATATCAGGAATAGCCATTGATAATCTATAATCAAATCCAATACCACCTTTAGCAATAGGCAAACACAATGTTGGCATACCACTAACGTCTTCGGCAATAGAAGTGAATTGAGCGTCTTCTCTCTTGGCGATTTCGTCCAATAATTCATGGGCTAACATCATATAAGTTATGGCTTCATCATCAACCCATTCAGGGTTGAAATATTCATTGTAATCACCACTGAATCCAAAAGATAACCCGTGATGCTTGTAAAGCATAGAGGTAACCCCATCAAAACGAAACCCATCAAATTTGAATACATCGACGTAGTACTTCAAGTTAGACAAAAGAAACCGTAAGGTTTCATAGTTCAGATAGTTAAAAAGTCTGGAATCCCACAAATCGTGGTTACCCTTCCCACCACCATGAAACAAATAGTGGTCGGTACCGTTGAACATATTCAAACCGTCGTCGACATTCTTAGAACTATGGGAATGAACGACGTCCAACAAAACTCTTATACCGTATTTATGGGCAGTATCAATTAACTCCTTCAATTCTTCCGGAGTACCGTAACGGGAAGAACAAGCAAAAAAATTTGTCACTTGATAACCAAACGAAGCATAATAAGCATGTTCCATTACTGCCATCAATTGGATGGTATTGTATCCCAACTTATGGATCACAGGTAAAATGTTTTCTGTAAAGTTCTTGTAAGTACCAATTTTTGGTTCTGGAGTTGAAATACCAACGTGAGCTTCGTAGATTTTAATCCCCTCCTCATGCATTTTTGGCCTTTTATATTTGAATTGATACGATTGTTCCGGGTTCCAGAATCTCCCGTCATAAACGTGAGCTTTGGGTTCCGGGATAGTACGATGACACCAAGGATCTAAACGGTAAATACGTTCACCGGAGGGCAACAACATTGAGATTTTATACTTAGAATTGTGTTCAATGGCATAATTACCCTCGTCTGTGGGTTCAAGAGTCAACGACCATAACCCATAGTCATTGACCTTCTTCAATTGATGAGATTCAGCATTCCAGTTGTTGAAGTCACCAACCAAACTCACCAGTTGTACATCTGGAATGTATTGAGTCACGGTAATCCGTTTGGTAGCGGGGTCTGCCACTAAACCATACGTCTCATACGAACTGGCAAATTTGGATAACGACCCTTCTCCTTCGTTGATACGCTTTAACCAATCTCTAAACTTAATCTGACGATCAATTAATCCACTACTATAAGGTTCTAACCAAGGATCGATATCAAGAGCGCCTTTGATTAAACTTTTGTGATCAGTCATATTAGTCAATTGATACAACTGCTAAAAGAATATGTAAATGAAAAATACCTAAGCAAAGAAACAAGTAAACGGATTATTCATTTTATATGTCCCCCACCCCCCTGGTCCTGTCTATCAGCCATCGACGTTGTGTTGCGCACGACCGTTATCTCCTGATGAAGTGGCTATTAATTGTGGGGTTGAGGGAGGAGTATTGTTGGGGTAAGTAAAGGGTCAATGAATCCCGACATACAATTTGACTGTATATACTATATTAGGCTATCAGTTGTGGCATACTAGTCAATTACTGCTGGACCTCTATTGCTGTACTTCTATTTCTACCTTGCATTAGTAAGCGTATATTTTTCCATACGACTTCTGTTCTTTTTTCCATACGTCTTCGATGCATATCGCATAAGTCTTTTTCTTGTTGGTTCTATATGTTTCACTATGCATCAGAAACACAAGTGATACCTTCGTTACTCTTTGGTCAAAGGTATTCTTATTGTTGCCCCGCATCACTCATGCCCATTATGCACTACCATCACTATCAAGTAGACACCATTAAGATTATATGATAGAGTGATAGTAGTATAAGTACAGTAGTACAGCAGTCATTACTACTATCACGATTACCTGTGGCTATTACTATTGTTACCATTGGCACTTTAATACTTCTATAACTATATTAGGTGGCTGGCTGTCTCGTTGTAGGCTTCACCCTTAATGTCGCCTTACGCGTAATCCGTATGTTAGCTGTTTTTGTCATTTTCGTATATTATCCCCCCATTCAATTTGGCTACACCGTCATTTGTTACCGGAATCTTTGCGTAAGTATCCGGTCGGGTCCGGCTTCTTCATATTCATGTTTAGAAACCCACATCTGATGGAAAGTTCCTAACGACAGTAACACAGATCCTCCAATCCATGCTTGGTTGGTTCTTTCACTGGCATTCCCAACTGCATGTAACCTAATCTTTAACCCTGGATTGATACTGGATAATTCATTATATAACCGATCGGTCAATTGAGGTATCAATGATCCTCCTCCAGTAACTATAATATTATGGGCTGTCAGTGCTCTTAAATCAATATCGATGTTAGATAATGTTGAGGAGACCAATTCTGTTAATCCTCTTATGCCAGTGATATGCAGTCTATCCAGAGGTGGAGGTGTTGATTGGTTTGATTCGGCTTTTCTTGCTCTTTTCAATGGCTTATAATCTTCATGGGTATTCTTCAATGTTAATTCCCCATTGCTTGGAGGATATTTCTCGGTATATTTGGCATTCTTGAATGAATAACTAACCGGATCAAAAATGCAATCAGCCAATTCGAACCGTTCAATTCCAAAAGTAACATATTGTCCAGCAGGGAACTGAAACTGTCTCTTGTATTGATCTTGATTATATATTGAGTTGGAAATGTTTTTACTACCACCATGTAATTTGGAATCAGGAACTTCAACCAATGCTTCTTTAACTTCATGCCATAGGTGTTGCTTCATATATGTATCGAACAGGGGAGTGACACCAATACCACCATTGGGAAGTGCTCTGTAAACACATTGGGCAGGCTCTGGATAAGTAGTAGGGGTTTTGCTTCGTATCTTATAATAGGAATCAGTACAGAGTTTAGGGTATTGACTGCTGATTAAGTCTTCAATATGATCATTAATAAAAGCCCCAGCGTAATTTGTTTTCATTGAATTTTTCAAAAGTGATATCCCATCAATAACCGGAGTAACACTAACTGAATCATGTCCAATGTCAACAACCAAACAATTGGCTCTACCTTGTTGGAATGAAACACACGTAGGTTTCCTTGCCAAATATAAAGCTGGGAAGTCAAATTCTTCGTAGAATGTTTCTATAAGTTTCTGACGGTACCGATGTTGAGTCCAAACAGGCTCGGTGATTAATATTGGTTGTTCGTCATATTGTAATTGCAAATACTCTTCAAAACAGTACCGGTACTGTTCTACTGCTGCGTCCCAATCTGTTACCATCAGATCTTTGATGATTGGCTTGACTTCATAATTCTCCCGTGCAAGTCCTACGCGATCGCCATAGAATCGTTTACCTCCGTCTTTACTTTCACCATAGGCCGATTCAATTACTAATTTGGGGAAATCATCTCCAGCGTACCCGACCCGCGAGTAATATGACCCTGGATCTAAGACAATCGCATTGATCTCATCACCCCCGTACACCGCCGTATTGTTTCCACTAGTTGCCATGATCGATATAGTAAAGTTGTATGTTTATATGTATAGATATATTAGTGGTGGTGGTAGTAACTTGTTGATACTTCCACTTTAAAAATTTTTATGTTATATGCAAAACACCACTACTGGGAATCGAACTGGGGATATGAATAATTATATAGTGTCATAAATACAAGATTACTACAATATGCGTGATTCGGCATCGATGACATCAACAAGGAACTCGATTTCAAGTCTCTTACGTGCTTCAACGACCCAGTCGTCTGCCAATTTTCGGGTCCAACCCTTCAAGTTGGCTACATCTTCCACAGCTTCATCCAAGTGGTCACGTGCCAAACTGTCTTCCACACGGGCAATAACACTTTCAATATCTTTACCATCGGGTTTATTACCAGAAACAGGAACTAAGAGCTTGGAAAATAAAACCGAAGCCAAATGTCCTAATAACCCAGCATTAGGAGGTAACAACGAGGCAGAACGTAATTCTCCACTCAATTGTTGCCAACGAGTTAACAATTGTGGCGTAGTAAGAATAGTTTGATTGGATTCCTTTGAAAGCAATGGATACAATTCCTTCAAAGTCAAATCAATCACTTGATCATCGGCACCAGCAGCAACTTTAGCTAAGTCGTCAAGATAAGGTTTGACAAGTTTGGGTTTTTCAGAAGGATCAGTATCAGTTTTTAAAACCGTTTTCAACTTAACAATGCTTTGATGAATGAGAACTTTTTGATTATTAGATGATAATTGTTCTTCAATTGACAAAGCATATTGTTCCAATTCTTCCAAACGAGTGTTAATCTTATCTAAATTTGCTAATCTTCCATTACGTTCGGTATCAATTTTATCCTTAACCATTGATTCAAATTTTTTGGCATCTTCAATTCTAACCATGGCAACTGCATTCGCAGCAGCTTGAGAAATAGCTTCTCTTGTGGCTTCTACTTCCTTTGTCATACGTTCATTCAATTTCTTTTCCAATTGTAAACGTTCATTTTTGAATTGACCCAATAAGGTTTCGGTTAATTCCAATTCTTTAGCAGTTGAAGATCTTAAATATTCAGTTTGAGTTTCCTTAACTTGTTTTTCAACGGCTTCATTGAAATTGTTTGTCAAATCATCAAGTCTCACTGTTAATTGGGCAACACTTTCATTGATACTTTTCAATAAGGAATCGTTTAAAGGTCCTTTAGGGACATTGATTGTTCTAAGTAAGTTGTTAAACGATTCAATGGTTGATTTTAAGCTATCATCGAGTTTATCATTGACTTTAATCAATGGGATATGTTGATATTCCTTAACCACACTTTCAAATTCCGGGTTTTTCTGTAATTGTTCAGCAGGGGTTGTATGATGGAACTTTTGTTGAGTTTTTTCAGCCAATTTTCTTGTTTCATGAAGGAATTCTTCACTTCTTTCTTCCAATTCAGCAGTTAATTTGGTAATTTCTTCTTTAGAAGGTAAGATAATCTTACTTCTAACAGAATCCATACGCTTTTTCAATTCATCAAAAGACCCATGTTCAATAACATCCAATAATCCTTCATAAAGTGGTAAATCATGTTCAATTACAAAATCCATCACCGTTTCATTCTTAGTGGCAGCATATAATACTCCACCATATAATACACTGGTAGCTAAGAAAGTCTTGAATAAAAACCCAGGAAACAGAAACTTTTTCTTGATCTTGGGTGGTTGTTGAGGACCAGGAGAAACTGGTACAGCTTCACGGATCACTGGAGGTTTACCTTTAGGTTGTAAAAGTACACTGGAAGTATCTTTAGAAGATTCACCAATCAAACGTCTTTGACTCTTAAAAACACCTTGAGATGATCTTCTAAGAGAAGCCAATTTGGTGGAAGAACGAAGCATATTGACTTAGTGTTTCCCTTTACGGTTCGAATCCCGTACTGTAGTACTGTCGTTGCACTAGTGAGTCTTGAACCAGTACCATCGTCCATTTACTGGTGCGACCCAATCACAACCTACCAAAGATATTTCACGGTAGGGACACGATGTTCCTGGATTTTTCAGCGGGTAGTGTAAACTTGCTAATAATCGTTTAGGGTAGATCGGTGTTTACGTATTTAAGTTAGATCAAGTAGTAGGCGAAGTAACTAAGTACATACTGTTACTGCTACGACTACTACCCACCGTTACTACTGCTGCTTATTACACATTGTACTAATTGAGCTACTCAGTTCCTTATCATTGTCACTTCTCCGTAATACAAGTCAACTACCGTTACGGCTCAGATCCCATTACAATTAGTGCAATCCCATTTCATTCAACATGTCAATTAATCCAAAGTCAATTTATCCTCCGCAACCTGCAACCACAAGAGCTCAGACCCTCCACTTGTCGTATGATCCTGTTCACGATCGGATTGTGTACCCCAATGGGAAGTCGATTTTCATTAGACCATTGGATCCAGAGTCAACTGTTCCGGTAAGACAATTCACTAAGCATGTGGCTACTGCTACTGTGGCCACGTTTGCTCCTTCTGGTAACTATGTTGCATCTGGTGATGAACATGGTCAAGTTAAGATCTGGGATAGCAGCTATTTCAAGTCAACTGGACCAGCAAATGGTGGTGATGATGAAGATATCTTTGAACAACCTAAAATCAAAAGTGAATTCCAAATCTTGGCGGGTCCTATTCGTTCCATAGCTTGGGATGCTGATAATCAAAGAGTTATAGCTGTAGGTCAAGGTAAAGATAAATTTGGTCATAGTTTCACTTGGGATTCTGGTAACTCCATTGGTGAAATTCAAGGGCATTCCGATACTATCACTGCAGTTGCTATAAAATCCCAAAGACCTTATAGAGCAGCTACTGTCAGTGAAGATAAAGCTTTGGTTTTCTATAATGGACCTCCTTTCAAATTTGATAAGAGTGTTAGAGGTTATCATACTAATTCAGTTAAAGATGTCAAATTCTCCCCAGATGGTAAATGGTTAGTATCTGTGGGATCTGATAGAACAATTGTGTTGTATGATGGGAAGACTGGTGAATATGTAAAGACTATAGAGAAAGCCCATGAAGGTGGTATATTTGCAGTTAGTTGGTTTCCCGATTCTTCAAAATTTGCTACGGCTTCGGCTGATAATTCTATTAAAGTATGGGACGTTGAATCAGGTGAAGTCACTCAAGCTTACCTTGTAAGTGAATCTAAAGCGGTTGAAAATCAACAAGTGGGTTTGATTGTAGCCAAGGATTATGTGGTTTCTCTTTCATTGAATGGGAATTTGAATTACTTCAAAGGTGACACTGAATCACCCAAATTTGTCTTGACAGGCCATAAATCTGCCATAACCTCAATTGAAGCTTCTGAATCAAATGTCTTTACTGGTGGTTCAGATGGTATTATTAGCTCATGGGATATTGCTAAGGATGCATTAAACCCTGTTTCTAAGTTGATTGGAACCTCCAAATCAACGCATACAAATTATGTCGTTGATATTTTGGGTGATTCCCAGGATTTGACTACTGGTGGGTGGGATGATAAAATTAAATTCTGGCTGAAGGGTGAATTAGAGGGCGAAGTTGCTTTGGAAAACCAGCCTAAGCATATTTTCAAGAATGGCACAAAAATAATTGTATTATTCGAAACACTGCTTTCTGTTTATTCTAATGGTAAAGAATTGTTTTCCTATCCTTTGAATTATGATGCTACATATGCAGCAGGAGTTGATGATAAACTCTTGATTGCAGATTCAAAGAACAATACAGTTCATGAATACACCATTGGATCGGATGGTTTAAATGAAACCTCATTAAAATACCCACAATTACGTGCATCTCCAACCATACTCAAAGTATCTCCTAATGGGGAATACGTTGCCGTTGCCGATAGTGCAGGCAAGTACACTTTGTACAAGACTTCTGATGCTTCCGTTATTACAACGCGTTGGGCCTTCCACAATAGCAAAATTTTGGATGCAGCTTGGACCAGTGACTCAAAGTTTCTTGTCAGTGGTGGTTTAGATAGTGGATTGTTTCTTTACTCAGTAGACCGTCCTGCCAAGGTGCTCAAAAGACCATTGGCACATCAACTTGGTGTTTCTGGTTTAAGATGGCTTGAATATTCACCCAAGAAATCAGGCAAGTTTGTTAGTGTAGGTTTGGATGGAGTCGTCAAGGTGTGGGAAGCAGATTTGAGTGTGTATTAACCCCTACACTTTTAGCGTTTTGTGAATGAGTGCTGGTCTATGTTAACTATGGAACCTTTCAAGGAATTACGAAGGGTCGTATTTTTATCCCATGTATTGAAATTTTTCATACGTAAAATCTCAAGCTTGAACTTGACCACTTGTATTCTGAAAGCATCACCCTCGAAAAGATTATAAAGTATTTTAAATAACTCTGATAACCAATTTCCAGCTTCCATGGACCAATTTTACGTATATTTGAGATATGTGCTATGGTTTATTGAGGGATCTCGTAATTTTACCATCCTCGTAATGGCGGTGCGAATTGCGTTTTTCTCATAACCATGGGCAAATATTTCTTCCAACATTTATTTGCAGCCAACTTACTTCCAGTCGCAGAAAAGATTTCCAGCACTTTATGATCCAAAACGTGTTCACAACTTGTACTCCTTAAAGCTTGCTGCCAGTCACAAACCCAGATTCAAAAAGTCAATCAGGTCAAATATTCTTAAAACTATAAAAATGATAAAACCATAGCAAGTTTCTTATAAAATATGATAATCTTTTGAATAACCTCAACGCTCACAATAGAAAAACTTGTCCGTTATTTTACCTAAAGTATTATCTGGTTCTGCACGCTTCATCATAATCTTACATTTTTGGCATCATTGAATGACTGAAGTTCATAATTGTTGTCATTTGATACTTTGGAGAAAAGTTCTTTCAAAGAAATATCGTTGTACCTTTCGAGTTGTTGGGGTATGACATAAGCTGTCGACTTCGAGATATCATTATAAGGGTTGACATAAAAAGAAGCATGAGATTTTTCTATAGCCTCTTTTACGCTTGTCAATCAATTCAAAAGGTTGAACTTGATGCTGAAAGGCGTTACAAAATATAACAACCTTCCCTTTCTTGGCATCGACTGGCCACCTAAACAGAGATACAATGTCTTTCAATCCATAAACATTTTTCAAAAGACGAAATCCCACTGATTATAGTCAGTCGATTCGTAGGTCGCTCTAAATTCTAATCCTAACATTCCCTATATCGTAATAATATAAGATTGTTGCAACAATATTTTCATTCATGAATCCTTCTACATACCACGATCTTCGATTGCACTTTGGAATTTCTGGAATCAACTGCTTCAACTTTGGTAAATCTGAAGCAAGAGATAAATTAGTTTTCTTTGGAGGACCTTCCCATTTGGAGATGTAATCCTTCAAATTCTCATGGCTCCATCAAAATAAGCTACTATACATCACCATAAAATAATTCATTATAGGTATGGAAAGGATCTGGTTGTTTGCACCAATAAAAATCACCAGATTGGTTCAATTCCGTTAAGAAATTGTTAAAAACTGTTTAAATGGTTCTATAAAGTGGCTTAAACTTTTTAGGATGTAGACTGTTGATATAAGACTTAAGTTGGTACATTCCCATTCTGGAACATACTTCATCAAAGAAGGTAACCATTGATACCTTTCTGATACGAAGTAAGCGCCTCTTTCCAATCAACAATTCCTTCAACAAATTTTATCAATGATTTCAGTTTCTTATCTAATGTCAAACCGTATTCCAATGGGAACAATGATGGTGGACCAAATCTATGACCTGGTTGTTTGATTTTGGATGATACCAAACAGATTGCGCAATCCTTCGGCTAAACTATTCAAAGTCTTTCTCATGCCTTTATCTTCAATATTGTCTTTCAAAATAATTTAGTCATCGTACGCAATAGCTTAAAAATCCAAGTTATAGTTGTATTCAAGTTCAAGTTCGTCATACCATTTCAACTTTCAAAATACATAATCCATAATTAGATCAAAGTATTTTTTTTCATTCTTTTCGGCTTCTTATCAAGCTTCATTCCTCCACTTATTATATATCGATAGATTATTGTAGTTAATCTTCCAATCTGGCTTCTCTCTAATGGAAGCAGAGATGTCCGTTAAATCTTTTTCACTACCATAGGATGAGTTTGTGCAAGATGGGAGACCACCCCCGGAAAAGGATGATCAAACGGTAACACATATGGTATTATATCTTTAAATTTAAACATTCATTGGCTTTGCTATAGAATGCTATTACGTATCCAAGGGGTTATTCAGCACCTCGTATAGGGTTCAGCTAGGCTTAAAGCCCCCTCAACAAAAATATTGGGTATCTGATTTTTCTTCCAAAAATCCATTAAAATCCATAAAGTATATTAATTGTTTTTTAAACAGGCTTCATTGCAGAAAACTCTTGTGGAGTATAAGTAAGAACCGTTTTATATATAGTGGGATTAAATGAAAAAATCACTTATAAGTTACTTTAGATGATCAAATAAACATCTACACTGTAGTATTGAATGATTATGATCTACGAAGGCTTGTTCCGCTGTTTTAAATGAAGTTTCAATTGAATTTTATGTCAAAAAAGGCCATCTGGTGAAAATTTTGGGGCTGATTTGAATATGTAGATTGCTGCTTTTCTATATGAATCATTTCTTAGCAGATATAGCACTGAAGTAATGGTAGGATCCATATCACATGTTGCAGTTTGAAATTATAAATAAAATTTTCATATCTAGAATATGAGGTTGCTTCTAGCTCATGCTCAACAAAGCGCTACAGAGATGGTGGAAGGATCCAATGGCTTAGCTCTACTTTATCTTCCAAATGCTATTTTCAAATTTTGCTGTGAGAACAGATACAACGGGTGAAGCTGTCACCATAAGGATATTAATCAACTTGTTGTTTGATCATAAGCATCAATGAAAAAAGTAAGCCTAGACGTGATACGTTGTCCCATAGTAAGCATTCAACTCCAAAAGAAACCAGTTCTAAGAATAGTGTTCGTAGCATTATATGCTCATCAGTTATAACATTTTCTGTCGAATTTACATTGATTCTTGATATGTTGATACTATACTGACACTTTTTGTCGGGTGATTGTAACAGAAGAATCGTTTTAAGGAAACAAGAGACAGAATGCCATAGAGGTTGCGATTTCATACTTTTAGTGAATAATAATGTAAAAGGACTTCAAAATCATTAGCATATGCTATATGTACAGGGATATTACTAATCCATCATTATTATCGACACAATTACTGTTTTCTACTTATCAAGTAACTCCGCTCGCATTATGATATTGGCTCATAAATTATGTCCACTCCTAACTCCACAACGTTATCTTTCGCAATCGCAACAGAAAAGACTGCGATTTTCAGGTACAGAAAGATTTGAACCCACAACTTTAAGTGGGCTCCACAGTTTGGATCTTGCGCAATTCAACAGAAAACTACCTTTATCAAAACCTGAGATTCTTAGTGTGAACGAAGGATGACAATTGTGGCACGTAAAATTAACTCCCTGTATGACGCAGTTTAGCTTTGCTTTACAGCTGGGATATCGCATATATTAAGAAGGTACAATCTACATTTTTAATCCCACTAAATTCTCTGTTCACAACAACAAGCATAAACATCTTTAAAAATATGTCTGTCTCAGCACAACTTGGTACTTCTGCCTATACCAATTCGTTCAAAAAAATCAGCGGTCCTGTAGTGGAACGAGATGGTTTAATTCAAGTTCCCGAACAAGACGTCAGTAAGATCAAGTATATAGAGTACCTTCCAACATGGACTAAGGAGGAAAAGTATATTCCCTTGAAGTTTTTTAAACATGTTGATCCTGGTTCCCGAGCAGATCCTGAATTCGGTCTGTTGTTTCCTAAATCTGGAAGCTCTATTAGAAAGCCGATCACTCCAAAATTCGGAACAACTGTGGAAAATGTTCAATTGTCTCAATTAGATGCCAAGGGAAAGGATGAATTGGCCCTTCTTGTTGCCCAAAGAGGTGTTGTTGTGTTTAAGAACCAAGATTTGGCTGAAAAAGGTCCACGCTTTGCAGTTGAATATGGTAAGCATTTTGGTCCCTTACACATTCATCCAACATCTGGTGCTCCTCCAAACGCACCAGAATTGCACACTGTTTACAGAACACCCAAAGTGGAAAACTTATTCGAACATAGCGTAAATTTGTTAGGCTGGCACTCCGATGTTACATATGAAATGCAGCCAGCTGGTACAACTTTCTTTTCTGTAATTCAAGGTCCTGAGGCAGGAGGTGATACTTTGTTTGCCAACACCGCAGAGGCCTACGAAAGATTGTCTCCTGCTTGGCAAGAGTTCTTGGGAGGATTGTCTGCTGTACATTCTGCTATACAACAAGCATCAGCTTCAAAGAACGAAATAGGAATAGTCAAAAGGGATGCAGTGGAAAACATTCATCCTATTATCAGAACCCACCCAGTTACTGGTAAGAAGTCTATTTTTGTGAATTCCGGTTTCACCCGGTCAATTGTTGGCTTGAAGAGTGAAGAGTCTGCTACAATTTTGAACTTTTTGTTTGACTTGATTGGGAACTCCCATGATTTACAGTTAAGAGTCAAGTGGGAGCCCAATACTGTTGTCATTTGGGACAACAGAGTTACAAATCACACTGCCATCTTTGATTGGGATTCTTCAGAACCAAGATTGGCTTTCAGAATTACTCCTCAGGCAGAAAGACCTGTGAATAATTTAGTTGACTTGAATAAGGAAGATACTAATAAAGTATACAAAGGTCAACTCTAGACTTCATGGTTGAGGAAGTTTCTACAGCTGTCTTATCAAGCAGCTTACATTCACCCATATTGGCAAATACTTTCTCTCTATTCCCATTCGGCTTTGGGAATAGCTTCTCTAGTTATCTAGGTGTATACACCAACTGCTGTAATTCATATTTAAACCAACTTTATTCTCACCTGTAAAACTGTGAGCAACAATTGTACAACGATGTGTTGGTGCACTACTTTATCCTCATGGTAACGGGAAATCCGAACACAGGTGGCTGAGCAATTGCTACTCACTTCCCGATATCTAGCTTCTGACATTCAGTCTTGGGATGACGCTATGTAATATAAATGGCAAATTAGCCCTCTAACATATTACAGATCACTATTTGGATAGATTACTATTTGGATAGACTACTATGCATATTTTAAATTGTTAAGGAACTCCTATTACCATACCCCAGCTGAATCGTACAATTTAGCCGCTTGTGTTTGTTAATATGTCTCCCTAAGTTGCTTCTCAAATGATTGCCTACACGTCTGAATCTGGCAGATAAAAAATGATATAAAGGGGATGTCCAGCCAAAAAAAAATCCCTGAAAAAATCCGGGGTTGTCCGAAGAATTCTAGTTCCATTTTTACTTTTAGCCAGAGATATAAAGCCTTCGCTTAGTTTTTTGATACATTCATCGTTGCAAACTCTGTAAACTAATATAACATAATGCACGCTCGTGATTGGTTTCTCGTGTTTATAGGTTTCTTCATTCCTCCAATTCCTGTTTTAATTAAACGTGGTTTCTGTTCTGCAGATTTCTGGATCAATATATTGTTGTGTTTGCTTGGTTTCTTCCCAGGGTTATTACACTGTTATTATATAATTCTGTCTTATCCATATGATGAACATCGTCATGTCCATCTTTTCTCTGGAGACGATGGCTACGGTGCGGCTTAGGGGGAGTGAACTTTGTCATGTTATTTGAATAATAGCTTTACTTGTGCGTTCCTCTGATGTGATACAGGCCTGATGTGATACAGGTCTAATGTGGCTCAGAGTGCATTTATTTATTGATTATTAATGAAATTGTCTCAAACTTGGTGTAGGGAGATGTTGGCTCTTCTTTTTTGGTGGTACTTTTCGATTGAACTTATTAACCCTAATATATCAAACTCTATATTAGTGTTCCTGGATACTGTTTGACTAACAAATTTGCTGTAAAATAACCTATTAATTCATCATTAAACCTAGATCTTCTGAACTAACCGACAGATTCAGCTCCGTGGTATTCATCGTCATATGTTCTCTATTGAAATACTTCACAGAAATTCGCACCAATTGCTCTTCAGAATTCCCAACTTTGCTTGTCTCAAATTTTGTTTATTATCGCTCTATATATCGCCCTATTCTTGGTATTTATTTTAGTACCAGGAGAATACTGAACTCAAATTGATCAAGTCAACCCTTTTTAACCGGTGCACTTTAATGAGGTGGTACTTTACCGTAGTACATCGTCATTAAATGGGTTTGAGACCTGGGATGCAAAAGCGCGACGAAGAGAAGTAGGTTTGGCCCAAGCAAGAACAACTCCTCAGGGGAAGTAGAAATCACAGATACGTCTAAGTTCATTAACCAGAAGAGCGTGATTATCCGATTTATGCATGTTATCAAGGAAATGAGTCAAATGATCAAAAGTAGCAATACCATATTGTTTGGTGAGAAATTAGTTAATAGCAGTAAAGTGTCCAAAGAAGAAACCGGTAAACTTTCATAAATATCATCGGAAAGTATATATCACTTAGTAATTTAACTGAAATAAAGTACATCACTATATAAGTATTACCAACCAAACTATTAACATTATGACTTGCTAAGAAGATTTGTAGTATTCATTTTAACTGCGTCGCGGGGCTCTTGTGTTTTAAATTAAAAGACCTCATATTGTGCATAAAATTATGCAGCGCATTACGAAAAATGAAAATACAGGCTAGGCTTCTCTGGTAGAAGTAATTACGACTATTTCTGAAAAGAAGACGCTGATGTTAGTCACTAACGCTCCAGTCAACATGATTGTCAGGAAAGCTACAACTGCGGTGTGCGGGGCTCTTGAATTGATCAAATCTTATATTTCTTATGGCATTATTAGACAGTCCTTTTACATTTATATTAATAATCGCAGCTGAGATTCAATAGTTCATCAATTGAAGTAGTTAACATTTTAACCAGTAAGAACCTCATTGATTGTTCATATGAGTTCCAATATACAGAGTAACTGGAGTCTGTTTCATGTGCGAGTTTCCCCACAAAATAGGTGAACAATTACTTACTCTATGTAGGTATGAAAAGCTGCACCGCAACTTTACCTTTGTTGCAATGTTCACAACTTATCTCAAAATTAGAGTTCAATAATTTTCCGAGTATCACATCTTTGACACCCTCGCAATAACTTTCCAAGTCAGTTTCTGTCCCAATCCAATTTGGTCCAATATAATATTTCTTTGAAGCAGCATGGGGTCCCTATATCAAAATTAGTTGATGTAGAGTGGTTACAAAATCATTCAATCTGAAACGCACCATCAGAGATCTTTGTCAAGGGTTAAGATGTGGGTTGTTCTCACTTTACTTGAGGACCCTTCAACCAATATATTGTTTTAAAAAAATATAAGGGCTAGGTGATCATGCTTAAAGAAAATAAAAGAAAGAAAGTCGGAATTTTGATAGCCTTCGATTGGTACGACAGTGTCAGCTACCAAGATATCTTTTAGCGAATCAAGAGTTAGCAGACTGCATCGATACAAAATTAGCCTTGTTGAACGGCACTTACAAACAGAGTTAGGATTTTACTCTTTTCGTATATTGCGATAAATTGGTATCTTTCGCACAAAACATTGTACACTAATACATAATGAAAGCTTTCCAATTTGTTATACCTAAATTTCCGAAACAGAACTAACATTGGTCACAAAGACTACTGAATCTAATTTTTGTAGCAATTTGAAGTAGGTACCCTTTGCAGGTGTAACTTTAACTTTAGATTAAAATTACTCACCACGGGTACATTGATGCTATTACCTCATATTTTACAAAGCGAATAGTTTGTTCAATGCCAAACGAACATTTTCAATTGATGAACTATTGAATCTCAGCTGCGATTATTAATATAAATGTAAAAATGTAACTGATATTTTTAAAAGTATGCTATTATATTCATCAGAAAACGATAACCTAAATTATTCTTAGGGAGTTTGAATCATTTCTTTTAGTGGAACATAGGGTTGTAGTGGAACATAGGGTTGAAATAATCAAGTATTTTTCTTAAAAAAAATATAACTTATATTGGTGGGAAAACCACCTACAACTATAAATCTCTACATGATACCACTGTACTCAACGAAGCAGAAGTCTAAGCCGAATCTAATTAAGGCTGTACATGGGTAGTCGAAGTTCTCTGAAAAAAATCAGAAAATGTAGAGCTGTAGAAAGTCCGATCAACTGCCTAAGGTTGTAATGAACGGGGAGATGGGAGTGATTCCTGAAGAGACGAAGGACCATCTACAACAAAGGTTGATTTATCGCAGTTTTATAGCATTCATCCACATTTATTTCAAAATGAATGTATTAGTTTCTCAAGCAGCTTTAATGCCTATACTTTCAAAAATCACTCATTTATTGTTTATTTAGTGTTTAGTATAAAAATTGCAATATCTGCTATCAAAAATTACAGCTAACGTTATCATAACCTGTAGCACACTTATAATTAACTTGACCCTTTTTTATAATAGCTTCAATACGATATGGTTCTTCCCAGTCGGCGCAATTTGAGGCACATTTAGAAACACAGGTTCGTTTATGTATTAATGCCCAGCGTTTTGTCACTTGGTATTGTACTTGTGTGACATTTTCAAACCCACTAATGGTACAAGGGTACTTCTTTTTTTTTATTTTGTATGATGTGGTAAGTTTTGAAGTTGAATTCTTTTTCAACAACTTAAACTCTGCTTTTGTAATGTTAACTTTTGCTTTAGCTTTGATGTTCATATTGCCACCACAAGCACCCTGTTGATTTTGAGCACAATAAATGCAATCAGAAGCTCTCTCCCAAGCGCCTAATTCATCACCACTTTCAATAATAGCGTATTCATCAAAGTGACCTTTGCCGCAGCCTCTTTCAATTAAATGAGCTTCCTCTTGTAAATCGAATCGTATATTCGCTATAACAGAATTTGACAGTCCAACCACAATACTGTAATCATTTGCGACAGCACTCTTAAGCAAATTGGCGTCAATCTCACTTTCGTTTTCCACTACATGAGCTTTCTCATCATTATTATACAGTAATGGCAGCAGTTGAATGCACGAAGCAAAGTATGAAGTAGTTAACAATATAAGCAATAAGAGCCTCATTGATAGTTGTTATGGAATTCATTACGTTGAGGAGTCTGCCTGTTTGTACGTTATTTATACTGCTTCCCTTGAGAAGAGTCCCACAAAATAAGGGAACATTTTTAGGTACATGTACGTAGAAAAGGCTTTACTAAAGCTTACCACTACAGAAATGGTCACACTTTTCTCAAAATTAAGGGTGATAATTTTCCGAATATTGCTTCCTTCACCCTGTCGCAATAATTTTCGAAGTCAATTTGTGTCCCAATTTGGCCTACAATAAAATGTCATAAAAACAGTATTGGCACCTATATTGAAATTCAGTTTTTGTAAAGGGTTACAAAATTATTCAATCTGTAAGAAGAGGACAAAGATCCTTGTCAAGGTTAAGATATAGCCGTTTGCACTTTACAGGAATGTCCTTAAGCAATGAAATTGTTTTAAGAACAATACAACGGCTATGTATAGCAGGTAATCTGACTTTGCTAAGTTCATCAAACGACAAAACAAAATTAAAGAAAGAAACTTCGAATTTTGATAGCCTTCGATTGGTACGACAGTGTCAGCTACCAAGATATCTTTTAGCGAATCAAGAGTTAGCAGACTGCATCGATACAAAATTAGCCTTGTTGAACGGCACTTATAAAACAGAGTTAGGATTTTACTCTTTTCGTATATTGCGATAAACTGGTATCTTCGCACAAAACATCACAGGTTATTGCATATAAAACTCTCTCTATTGTTCCGAAGTCCTAATGCCCCGATCTGTGGGTCATAGGGTTTCGGTGTGCGGGGCTCTTGTGTTTTAGGGTTTCGGTGTGCGGGGCTCTTGTGTTTTAGGGTTTCGGTGTGCGGGGCTCTTGTGTTTTAGGGTTTCGGTGTGCGGGGCTCTTGTGTTTTAGGGTTTCGGTGTGCGGGGCTCTTGTGTTTTAG